TCGTGGATTCCAGAGAACATCCAAAATACACAATTATTCTACTTTTCATTGCTGTCGTCACTATTTAGGAGTTGATCCCCACAGATATGCTTCGTAGCCAAAAATCACTGCCCAAAAATGGCCGGGGTAGAGCCCGCGCAGGTCAAGATGCCAGCGCGCAACCAAACCGCCGAGAGAAAACACAGCCAAATCCCAAGGTATCATGTCTACGAGCCCCAGCCAGACCGGCCACCCCTTTCCCAGCTGGCACACCCCTGGCACCTGATGCGATTACCATTTCACCCGTATCCAAACTCCGTTTTTGATGCCGCTCGCGCCGACTGGCCGAGCGAAATGTAGGCTTAATCACGAACACTCGCTAAGCGGAGGGTTACCCCTGGGCGTCGACAAAGTTGTCTTCCGACGCGGTTGAGTCGGTCCGCTTGGCGCTACCTGGCAGGCTCTTTTTCAGGTCCCCGTGGAAATCGACCAGGGGGCCGTCCTTGGCCTGGCTACCCGTCGCAGAGAGCATCTCTTGGATCTCGGTCGTGCTGGGGTGTGATGGATCGAGGGGTGGTGGGTTCGCCGGAGTCTGTGGTTGCTCCTCCGCCGCCGGCGGCTGCTCCTTTGTCAATGGCGGTTGCGGAGTTGACTCGCTATCGCCAAAGTCTATCAGATCGCCAGCTGCGCTGGGGGGGTCCTTCGGCGGTTCCTTCACTTCGAGTGAGGCCCTAGGGGGGATGACGTTTTGTTGATTAAATTTCTGCCCTTTGATAATCGGGTAGATGGCCATTATTTGCGCCGCCTGCTTCTCAGGGGTCGTTCCGTCTCTGCACGCCGTTAGCACTTCATGTCTCCCGGCGGCAGAATATGGGGTCGTCTAACATCGTAGCGTTGATGATCCATTCGAGGTCCTCTTCGCCCTCCTCCGGGCCGCCTGGCCCGCCCCTTACCGGCCTAAATAGTTTGGGATGCCACTCGACGCCGTCGTTGGCTCGCTTGGCCGCCTCTTCGCGCTGTACTTCTTCGACCTTGGTTTTCTCGTCCGTTGCGAGCTCGTGATTGCGCTCCTTGACCGCTTGTGATGTCTTGGCCCACAGCCGCTGCGATTCCCGCTCGGCTTGTTCCTCGAGAGGTCGGCACATGGGGGCACTGGGCTTCGATTTCAGGGCGTTGAAGAACATCTCCCTTTGCGCCGTCTGTCTGGTGTTGGCCTAGCTCATCCAAAGGGGATCAGTCAACTCACCTTCACATTCTTGATGTACATTTCCTCGCTCCATAGCCCAGAAAGCTCGTAGAGTATCTCGCCGGTGTGGTCGTTTCTGATGACGCCGCCAATGGCGTTGTATGTACCGCTGACCCACCCTTTAACCTTGAAGTCGATGTCGGCTGATAACCCGGTCTCTGGGCACCGCACGAAGCTGTGATCCCCGAGCTCGTATTTCATCTTGCCAAACAGAATGCCCCTGGCATACATATTCGGCTGCGTGAGAGTACTAGGGAAAATCATTAGTCTCGGCGGAATCTATCCTCCCGTCAAGATTTGCTCACTAGCGCTCGCCCTTCGAGGGGTCGGCGCCCCGGTTCAAGAGTGACAAGATAGCTGTTCCTTCCATCATACTGGCGGCGGAATTGCCCAGAAACTTGCTCCTAGGCTTGAGTGTTCCGTCGACCCGGATGTTGTGCCCTGGAACCATGTAAAAATAACTCGACTTGGGCGGGTGGTGCGATGTCTGTTCCGAGATGTAGTAGGCCCGCGTGTTGTCGGGGAAATCCCAGTAGCAGCTAAAGACCTCGCCGAGGACGGGGTTCAGGGGTTTCTTCACTCCCCTAGATAGCATCAGTACGAGCTCCATATGGTTCCAGAACACCGGTACACCAACCCGGGGGAGCACTTACGGGGGTCGGATGTGCCAGCCGCTCAGATAGAATTTAACTACCGCCACGAATCGCTCAACGGGATCGTCAATTTCAGGGATCGGCAGGAGCATTTCGGGGTGGCACATGAAGCTGTCCGCGGTTTGTTAGCTTCGATGGGCCAGTGTTCAACAGCAGAGACTGTCAAGGAGACGGTTGGGTCATACTTGGTAATCCGTTCCAGCATGCTGCGCGGTTCCAAGATGAAAGTCGGGAGCACCACCCTACTCAAGTCGGCACCGGGCCGCAGCTGTGATATAATGTGGGACAAGACTACGCACGAGATCAGCCTTTGCTGTCTTTTTAAATGTAGTCGCTACCGATGTGTTGACAGACCATTTCCCTGGTCGGGCTCGACCACGAGGGTGTCATCGTCGACGGGATCCTGTCGCTTCGCTAGAGGACCGGCTGCCTGGATCGAGGAAAAGTCAATTAGTATAAGTCGACACCACTATCCTCAAAATTTCAGAGTGCCGGAAGGAGCTCAACCAAGCCGTTCTCCCCCCACCCTCTCCTGCCCTATTCTCCCTGCCCTATTCTCCCTGCCCTATACCAATAACTCTCTGGAAGAAACAAAATCACACGACTCACTAGCATTCGAGATGGTTCGGCGACGGCCAGACACAAGTCCCATCATTTTTTCCAAAGATCTAGGGCCAGGCCACCCTTTTTCAGCAGCCGTAAAGCTCTTGAGAAAAAGGGAAGAAAAATAAAGTGGGGTAGGGTAGCTCGAAGAGGATATTGTTGGGGATAACTTCGCAAGCGAGAAGCTCAGATCCGCTTGTCAACTTTTTCTTTCTATTTCGTTTCTATGGTCGAGACAGGCGCAATGAGTTCCCGGACCCGGACGCCTGGAGTGGTTCTGGAGGGGCGAGATGATTACGTCGTTAAACAGGCAGCACCATGCACCATTCAGCTGGCTGAGAAGTTTGAACGGCAAACGGGATTCGCAGGTTGACAGACTCCCGCACACCGCATCTCAGCGAAGTCGGGCGGGGCATGGAGGGGCGCCTTGGGGGCAGGCTGCGATGACGTGGGTGGGGCCCGGGCTCCCTTACACCTCCGGGTTTCCGTCTGCCAGACCCAGGCCCAGACAGGCAACCCAGAATTCAGCACGTGTCTAGCGGGCATGTCTGTAAGAGACATCCATAGTGGTCCATTACGTCTAGATTCCCAGGAATCTTGATCTCAGTATAGTGTAGAACTTAAGGTTAGCTGGCTTGAGGCTAGTTAGGGAGTTAGTTGGTACCCACCCACTGTTTCGTGAAGCTGGAAGCCAGAACATGAAAGTTGCTCAAACCAACAAGTTGTCATCAGCCACCAACTGCTTTTGTCTCCAAGCTGATCTGTGCTTCCTCTTTCGTCTCTCTTTTCGTCCATGGGGAACCCCACGTGGTGGAGCGAGGGTGGTGGCCCACACGAGCTTCTGTTCATACCCCTGCCCGGGAATGTCGGGGCTTGAGACAGGTCTCCGCCTCCGCAAATCTCGCCCAACTCAGCCACAGCAGAGCGGTCACGAGCTGGATTCTCGAGCAGGCTGGAGGAAGGGAAGCTCGCTCGCCGGTGAACCGATATGGCCAGATGGCGGACCCGAAGGGGGAAAAAATCCATGCTTGAGAGACTCGGAAGAGCAGCCCTGGGCCCGCAATCCCTTTCTCTGTTCACTTCTTTTTTTCGGTTTGTTTTTTGCTTGCTCGAGAATGGGGCTTGCGTTTCGTGCTATGTAGTTATGTGCTCCCTGTTGTCAATGGGGTGACAAACTGGACTGGATATCATTGGGCGACAACGCACAGTTGGACAGGCAACACCACCCGGGTATTCCTCGTCACCCACAGGAGAAGATTGTCACGTCAGCACGAATGATGATCTGGCATCCGGCTATGGCTTGTGACTGCTTGGTTGCAACAAAACCTGTTGTTGTTCCTGAAGATCGCAAGGTTTGTGGAGGGAGCGGGCCCCATGCTAGTTTTGATTGCGGTGTCTGGCCCTGTAACACCCCCGGTGGAATGACACCCCCAGTAGTTTCAGGTGTGCGCTGCCGTTGAGCGGGCCGCCCGAGGCTTGTTGGTTCGGATCCGGACGGCAGGGTCTAGAATACCTATGAAGACTCTGAAGATACGGATTGTTAGCCTCGACTCCCGAGACCCCAATACGAACTTCAGCTCCTGTTCGGCTGGGGCGACAATAGGGACGCTTGACTTCGCATTGGCCCCACGAGGTTGCACTCAAAAGAGCGAAATATTAAGGGCGCCGGGGCGCGCCACGGCAACCGGGAACCGGCAGGTAAAACGGTCTTTGTAGCCCCAAGTGTGGAGAAACATTGACCGAAGTGCGCTGCTGGATTGCCGTTAACCCTGGAACATAACCCAGATCGGTGCTTTGCACTGATGCTGCATCAGATGAGATCCAGGGGAACCGAGACCTGGAATGAGGAAAAAAAAAGGGGTTTTGCCGAATCGAGAACCACCACAAAACACAAAATCCATCGTTTGGTCTTGCTCCTGCCCAAAAGCTGCGATTGCCAGATTGACTCGGAACCCTGGGCATCCAATGCCAACGCAGGACACGGCGCTTCGAACCCTGTTTAGGAAGTCGATCCCTCGCTTTGCGTTCCTTGCCCCGCCGAACACGACCACTGCCCGCTGCAAGCAACCTTGAAAGGTTCACTTGGCTGCTCACTCCCTCTCGCCCACCGACGTTTCCACTTTCTTAGCAGCGACCACACACCTTCATCTCGGTTGACCAGCCCGGCCTTCCCTATCGCAATCGGGTCACATGCGATACCTGGAGCCCGACAGCAACGGGCCTATTTGGCGGCTCTGCGGTCAATTGTCGGGCTGCCAGGCGGACAGCAGCAGCAGCAGCACCAGCAACGAGCACATGCTTGCTTTCCCTTTCCGTCTCCGAAGTAACGTCCCATCTAGGCCCCGTCCTGCGCCACCGCCGTCGAAGCGCCAGCCCAGCCCATGAAGAGCTTGGCCTCGAGATAGCTAGCTACGACATCCGAGCGAAATGACAGAGAACGAGCCTCCCGCCCTTGGTGTGCACGACGATGGCCGAGCCACGCGGAGCCGCCGCATTATGGGCAAGCTGTTTGGCCGCGACCGCGAGCGAAAGGCAACCCGCGACGACGGCGGCGACCTGAATGACTTCTTGCACGGATCTACCGACAAGTTGCAGGTCACCCACCCGGTGCCGCCCGTGCTGACCAGACTCGATACCAAGACCGCCCCCCGATACCCCAATGCCCACAATGTCAACACCGCCAGCGAGCCCAAAATGCAGGAGTACGTTGTACGGCCGCGCGATCCTCCCGCGAGAATCAAGAAGGGGAAGGGGTTGTCTGTGAAGTTTGTGAATTCGAACCCAGAAGTCATTGGGGATGGCGGCGACGAGTGTGAAGTTCCCACAGTCGAGATATCAAGACGCAAGAAACAAAGACCACAGCCCAGCCCCTCTTCCATGGCACCACCTAACCGATCTGCAAACCTCGGAGACGGCTCCCGAAACCCATTCGCAGACCCGCCGGGAGAAACATCGGTGAGGGACGCACGGTCGAGCCCTGGGTTGCGGCGCACCCAGACTGGGCACTCACCGAACCCGGGAGGTAACAATGCTAGCCGATATCTGGGCATGCCTGCCGCCCAAGATGATAAACGTAGATCGTTTATCGAGGTACAACAAGCCCAAATGCGAGAGGCGGAAGGACGAGCCTTTGCACAAGCCGTACGGTCGGCGTCCGGAGACCAGTCCAGACAACAACAGCGGCCAGATTCCTCACCCGCATCGACCAACCAGGAGATGGAATCGCCCATCGCCATGTCACCAGAGTCAATGCATCCCCCACAGCTACAATCACCAGCTCACTTCGCGAACCCCCCTCAAGTGCCTGCCAAGGCACACCGAGCGGCACCCCCGATCCCACCGCCTTCCCGAGAACCACGAGAATCTCCCCCGTCACAGAGTCAATATACCCTCACCAGCCAACCGTCCAACTCGCCCGACCGGCTAAACAGGACGCCGAAGACGGAGAACAGCCCCGCGACCCTCTATTCGGCAGCTTCCAGCTTCCAGCGCCCGTTCCCGGGACCTAAACAAGGGACTATTTCGGAGAAGGGCTATGGATCGCCCGTCCAACAGCAGGGACCCAGTTTCCAAGACGTCGTAGCGGCTGCCTCAGACGACGCTATGAATGCGTTCGTGACACGCACGCGCCACTTGTTCGAACTGTTTCGTCTCCATGGCGAGAGCGTGCGGTCGTTGGCCTCGTCTACCCCCCAGGAGATGGCACGGGCGGCTCTATGGTGGTTCCTGATCGGCCGGACAGCGCTGGAGGTTGCCATCCGTGACCGCCCCTCTACCCCCGAGTCCCAGATGAAGAACGACATGGCGAAGCAGCAAGCATACGCCGATCTGGCGAAAAGCTACTGGCTTTTGGAGGAAGCGATGCCCGAAGTGGTCAATTCCGGACGGAGTCCGGTTGACAAGGAGGCCGAGGGTGTCCGGACTACCATCGTCTCTAGCCTCCGGAAACTGGCCGTATCAATGAAGCGGAACGGCTTTCTGCCGCCCGAGGAAGCATTCCTCCCCCAAACGGTCGACAGAACGATCTGGCTCGACTATCCACCTTTATCACAAGATATCACATCTTTGCTCTGCGGTTCGAGTTCTGCTCTTGCCCAGAGCCACGCCTCCTCCGGGATGACGATACTGGAGGCCTTGCCGTTGGGCGACACCGCAACTACTTTCTGTTTTGCCCGCTTCCAGGTCGATGCGTTCCTGATGGAGCAAGGGCGAGAATCACGGCGACTCTATCTTCCATGCTTCCTAACAACTGTCCGGCCGCAGACACAGCCGGATATACTTTTCATCCTCGCCAGCCAGAACGGGGCGGTACAGCTTCGAATATCAGGAAACAAGAACACAGGCCCTTGCTGGGAAGAGGTCCGCTGGCGTCCGGAAAACTGCAACCTGGAAATCAAGTTACCCCGAGGATTCCTCCTGCTCGTGCAGTGCACACAACAAGCATATTCCACCTTACGCAGCATGTACGAATTTAGCGCGAAGGTCCATTCCAGCCTTTACCCGAGGCAAGACGAGAGCTGCCTTTTCAGGTCGACTCTTCGGGCGTTCCAGTACTTTGACAACGACCCACAGGCAAGGCAGTTCCCGAAAGATTCGACACTCAACTGCGAGATCGCCCTGTTTGAGCGCCTCTTCAGGGAGGGGGCGGCCACAGGCCCTCGCACTTACCACAAAGGCTATCGTATCGCGGTTGTCACAGGCCCGCGGACCAAGACCTTGAGCGGTGTCAACCAGATGTACCTCCCTCAAACTCCCATACAGTTCGGCTTCTTGCGCAGCGAGGCCAATGACCCCGCCCTCTCGCTCAAGTTTGAGAATGGCCGGTTCAAAGGCAACATGGTGCTATCGTTTGCAGACGAGGCGGAAAGGCTGCGGATGCATAGTTTACTCATAGGGACCGCGCTAGACCGGGGCGAAAGTGTTTCCGGCGAGGCACCTCTGCAAGGGGTGTGGTTCTCGGAGAGGTACGGCGATGCCTCTAACAAGGGCCTGCAGGCCCTGTCTGCTTTGGCATGGAACAAAGTGAGGGTGATCAACTACGACAATGACGGCGACAAGCCGTCATGCGTCCTCGCTGATAGGCTTCGCGTGGTTTACGAGTTCAAAGAAGGCACCCTCACCGACCGTATCAACGTCGCCCCGGGCGAGCTCAAACTCCGCCTCGATGTACAGAACCCGAGCTGCCTGATGGTCTTCCGCCAGCCCCAGACCGACATCACTCTCGCCGTTACCGAAGCCAACTCGTCCCGCAATCTCTCGGGAGGCCTTAGCCAAGCCCTTGAAAGTGTTAAACAATCCGCCACCATTCGCACCTTCATGTTCCCTAACATTAAAGAACTCCACGCCTTTGAAACAGCCATCACAGGCTTCAAAGTGCTATTCGACGGCACCGCTGCCGCCTTTGCCATCTCGCGTCGCCGTATGGTTGTGCCGATCCACAAGAAGTGGGAGGCGGGCGCAACGAGGATCCAAGTGGTGCAGCAGGACGGCGTCTCCCAGCTGCTGGCCTTCTTCGAGGACTTCAGCCATGGCCAGTGCATGGGATTCCACCTCAAAGGGACCGACGTCTTCGAATCATTCAACCGGAGCGGAAAGGCCGGGCTCAAGATCGACGACGCCAAGTTCCCATTGCCCAAGACGCTCGCGCCGGATTCGGATAGTGCGCAGCAAGCGGCGGATGCGGCCTTCTTGTGTCTGGATTTGCCGGAGTTACCGGGAGAGCATGACGATATTTCCATCCTGTTTGATAATGAGGCGGGTAAGTTACATACATACCAATGCCCGGCTACGTAATGACGACAGTGTGCTAACCGCATATGAACAGAACGTGATAGGCTCGTCGCTTGCCTCCCGGCACCAGTTAAAGCACCACGACTACCGAAGATCAAGGGAATGTCATAGGTAAGATGTTGAAAGGGGCTACTAGCTGAGGAGAGAGACGGGGCAAGCATGCGATTGAGGGATACCTATCTGGCATTGATAACACGAGATACCCTCCTGGAATCTATTTAGCTTTTTGTTCAAGGTTTGAGTCCCACGTGTGTTGTGTCGTGTTCCGTACGGTCATGCCGGTGTCATCATACCCATATATTTCGTACTGACACCAATGGATGCGGAATTTGCCACAAAACAAGGGACTCGATTCCCCCTCACCAGCTGTCCTGCCCTCTACTGGGTTTGTTACAGAAGATGAATTACAAACAACCCCTACTCGGCAGGTACCTGAACCAACGCCTCAACTCCATTGTAAGCCAGTGGGTAATTTGATCCCGCTTGATGCCAAACAAAGAGATGTGCCTAAGCTTCTTTTCATCCCATATTGTGTGTTCCTCTTGTTTCTGAGTGTCTTCCAGTCAAATTCATCATATTCACCTTCCTCCTCCTCCTCCTCCTCCTCCTCCTCCCCCCTAATACCGCCTCCTCGTTGGCTCCGGGCTCGGCGACCTGGTCGGGCTGCGGGAACGCGGCCTCGTCTTGAGCCACTTCTTGGTCGACAACTCCAGCTCGCGGTCGAGCTCCGGGCCGGGGTTCTTGCGGTGGATAAAGTTACAGAAGCCGCCGCGGACGCAGCCCTCGCCACTGTTGAGGCGGCAGCAGGCCTCGCGGAAGTCGGTGACGGGGCTGAGCTCGCAGTAGATGGGGCGCGCGGCGTACCAGCGCGAGTTGAGGTCGTCGCAGGCCTTTTGCGCGCTGTCCTCGTACTTGAAGCGCGCGTAGACGTTGCCGATCAGGTGGTCGTTGTTGTTGTCGCACACGACGAGCTCCTCGACCTCGCCGTACTTGCACATCTCGCACCAGATGTCCTCGTAGAAGGCGTCGAAGTGGTTCTGCAGCTGCGACGCGTTCATGCGGTTCTTGGGGTCGAAGGCCGGGTTCTGGTACAGGTTCGGCATCAGGATCGTTTGGCTGTACGACGGCTTGACGTGTTTCCGGCTGCACCGGTCGCCGTGCCGGCATGCGCCGATCTTGTAGTAAAAGGAGCAGTTGACCTTGTCCTGCTCCGTGCCGAAGATGGACGCGAGGAAGTTGGCCATTGTTGGGGCGTCTGGGGGGGTTGGGGTTAGTTTGGGGTGTCGAGGTATATATCGGCGACGGCGCGGGTAATAAGATCTGGCTTCGCTGGCTGTCGACGCGGGGGGTGTGTTGATGGATAATTGAGGCGCGATCAAGGTCGAGATTTGGCGATTTGGCGGCGCGGGATGGTGGTGGCAGGCAAGAAAATCGCCGGGTCCTCGCCACAAGTGGCTGACTAATTGTCATTGGCTGAATTACAAGGCGAGAGTTTGCCAAGACAAGGCTGAATAATGCTGTGGCTGAAGCTTCTGGTGTGGAGTCCAGGCGACATTCCGTCCGGCTGGCAAAGATTCCATTGAACCCACCACCAAGGCCCAGCCTCTCTCAGGCACTTTGACCTCGCCGTCTCCGGCAAAGACGCCGATATGCTTACAACAAGCTTGCAGCAAGCCAATCAGCCATGACCCCTCTCAGCTAACTTGCCAGTTGTAAGACAAGGCACTGCATAAGCCAATCGCAACGCTGAGCTCCCCGGATGGCGTTCTCGTGGGGCCCTGCCGAGACGGGAAACGGAAACGGAGCAGAGCACCTCGCTGGACGAACGACAGAGGCAGTTTGCTTGCCTGTCTCCCCTCATTCCCAACCTCCCAGTGTCACATCGAGATCGGGGCTGCAATTCGCTTGCGCAGGGGATGATCCGCAATTCCATCCTCACGTGGGTGGTAAATTGCGACGAGCGCTCGAGGAGGATATTCGGTAGATCCGGTGCCGAAAACGTTGTTGCTAAGACGTCCGTTCAGAGGTTGTTAGTCACTTTGTCGGATCGACAAATTACACAGCTATCGACCACTGCTTTACGTTAGTTAGGTAGTTAGCGAGCTCACTTCAAAACCTGCCGAATTTCCGTGACACATGTAAGTTTTCAACGACTCTTGCCAAACCGGGTCACCCTAGGCAAAAAAAGCCGAACTCCAAGTGCAGGTGCCGACGAAATCTTCGACTGAAGGAACAGAAAGAAAAGCTTTTTCGAAGCCCAAAATCGACATTTTATTCAAACAGGGTTTCTCTATCTCTTATTTTTTCTTGATTATCTTTACTTTTTCTCTCTCATCTTGATTCCTTCCTCCCCTTTTGAGTGCGGCTAGTTATTTGGCCAGAGGGCGCGGGCTCAGCCAGGTTACAATCTGGCTTCTGGAAAACCGAGCAACTGGGCCATGGATGGCTGGTGCCGAGATTTTCGGCGGGGATCCCGACCCCAGCATACCCCACCCTAATCAATCCAGGGTCTTGGGAGCGGCCTCCCCCAACGATGATGCAACTTGCTTCTTTCTTCACTTGGGGTTGTGAAGCGTGAATTAAGCTCAGACAAACGGCGGGCCACGCAGGGCTTTCGTTTCGGCGGGGATTCCCCCTTCTGCACGGCAGTCTGAGACATGGACATCGATCACACAAACAAGCGAGCATCATCAAAACGCTCCTCGAGCGCTTACAGCTGCAGCCGTCCGGATTGGAGACCGGTGATATTCCAAGTTACTCCAAGTTTTCTGGAGACTGCCAAGGTTGCGCAATATCTCTTGCGGCTTGGTGGGTGGGCAATGCGGGCAATGCCAGCTGTCCCAGGGTTCACCGACGAAATTGATGGGGGAACCCTTGCTCCGTTCTGCACCGTTCAGCTGATGAGAATACCCCTTGCGTGATACTCCGGGCCACGTACCTTGGAACATTCGAAGGGCTGGGCCGTCGCTGGACAGAAATCCTGGCTTCACAGCTGCAGAGCACCACAGTCAGTTAGGTAAGGACACTAGCTGACGCGGTGGCCGACCCGCTTCAATCAGCGCACCCACTGCACAGCTTGCACCACAGGGCCGGACCCCCGCTCCAGACCCATCTGACGTAGCCGACCAAGCTGTGACCTGACAGCCCGGGCTAGATTGCTTCCACCAACAGACCTCATCTGATCAGTAACTTGCTTCCAGTGCCGTTGAACCAATTGAGGACCAGGTGTACGGCTGCAAACGCAGCGGAAACCGCTGCCCAACATGGCGACGACTCACGCCGCGAATGAGCTCAAGCAGCAGGGTGCTATCGAGGCATCGAGAGATCCCGAAAGCAACGTGACGGCCGCAGACGCGGAGCGCAAGATCGTCGAAGACAGCCGGGAGGCAGGCGTAACGGCCTTCACTTTCGACCCCGATGCTAGTCCCGAGGAGAAGAGAGCACAGGCGAGAGCCGTACGTTGTAGCCCCCCTCCCCCCTTTGTGCATGTTGTATCTTCCTGTTTTCTGTTTGCGGGTGCTGACCACTCTCGGCAGGCTGTCCCCGAGGGATTCCACCGTAGACCCAAAGGCGTAGCGATCGTAACCGACATCGACGACGGTACCAAAGCCGATATCGATCTACCTTCGCCCTCCAAAGCTGGCGCAATCGAGGTTGCCAAGGGCGAGGATGGGAAACCCCTCGCCAACGGCGCGGCCGGCGAAGAGGAGGAAGACTGGAGCAAGACGGGTTGGGCGCCCAGGTTCGGGTGGCCTACAGAACCCACAGACCAAGGCGAGGACATGCTGGACCACTCGACATGGGTCGAGTCCCAGTTATCCGAGCAGTTCTTTGGAGGTAGGGTCTTTCATGCCGCATCGGGATTTTACTTGGAAGCTTACAACTGTGCCATACAGATTGGTACCATAACGCGGCAGTCATTGCGTTCGCCTGCCTCGCCTCCTGGCTAGTAGCAGTGCTCGGCGGCGGCCTCGCTTGGGTGTTTATCGTCATGGCTATCTGTTCGACCTACTACCGCACCTCGATCCGCCGAGTGCGCCGGAATTTCCGCGACGATGTTACCCGCGAGATGGCGCTCAAGAAGCTGGACACGGATAACGAATCTGTCGAGTGGATCAACTCTTTTTTGGTCAAGTTCTGGCCCATCTACCAGCCCGTTCTTGCGCAAACCGTCATCAACTCGGTTGACCAGGTCCTGAGCGGTGCCACCCCTGCCTTCTTGGACAGTCTGAAGCTCAAGAGTTTTACTTTGGGCTCGAAGCCACCTCGGATGGAGCACGTGAAGACGTACCCTAAGGCCGATGACGACATTGTGGTCATGGACTGGATGTTCAGCTTCACCCCCAACGACACGGCCGACATGACTTCTCGCCAGCTTAGTAACAAGATCAACCCCAAAGTCATTCTGGAAATCAGAGTGGGCAAGGCCATGGTCAGCAAGGGCCTTGATGTGATTGTCGAGGATATGGCCTTCAGCGGCCTGATGCGCCTCAAGATCAAGTTGCAGTTTCCCTTCCCTCATATTGAAAAGGTCGAGATGTCCTTCTTGGAGCGGCCAACGATCGACTACGTCTGCAAGCCGCTGGGAGGTGAAACATTCGGTTTCGATATCAACTTCATCCCCGGTCTCGAAAGCTTCATTATGGAGCAGATCCACGGCACTCTGGCCCCGATGATGTATGCACCGAACGTCTTCCCAATCGAGGTCGCCAAGATGTTGGCGGGTACGCCCGTCGACCAGGCTATCGGTGTCATCGCCATCACGCTGCACGGTGCCCAAGGTTTGAAGAACACTGACAAGTTCGCCGGTACCCCCGACCCCTATGCCGTGGTTTCCCTCAACAACCGGCAGCCGCTTGCGCAGACGAAAGTTGTCAAGGAGAACGCCAATCCCCGCTGGAACGAGACTCACTACGTCATCATCACCTCCTTCAACGATTCACTGGACCTTGACATTTTCGATTACAACGACATCCGAAAGGACAAGAAGCTTTGCTCTGCATCCTTCCCGCTGGAGAACGTCGAGGAAGTCTATGAACACGAGAACGAGCGACTCGAGCTCAAGCACGACGGCAAGGCGAGGGGCGTGGCGCTTTGCGATATCCGGTTCTTCCCCGTTTTGGAGTCTAAGAAGCTCGACGATGGAAGCATGGAACCGGCTCCCGAGTCGAACCAGGGTATCTTGCGGTTTACTGTCGAGCAGGCTAAGGAGCTCGATGGCTCGAAGAGCATGGTCGGCCTGCTTAGCCCCTACGCGATGCTTCTCCTGAACGGCAAAGAGGTGCATTCCAGCAAGAAGCTGAAGCGGACCAACAACCCGATCTGGGACAACGGCTCCAAGGAGATCCTGATTACGGATAAGAAGAATGCCAAGCTCGGCGTCGCTATCAAGGACGATCGTGACCTTGCCGGAGACCAACTCATCGGAACGTACCAGATCAAGCTGGAGGATATGCTAGATTTCATGGAAAAGGGACAGGAGTGGTACAACCTTGCCGGGGCCAAGACTGGCCGCGTCAAGATGATGGCTCAGTGGCGGCCGGTGGCTATCTCGGGTATCGCAACGGGCACAGGAGGTTACAAGACCCCCGTGGGCGTCTTGCGGGTTCACTTCAAGTATGCCAGGGGGCTCCGCAACGTGGAGGCCCTCGGCAAGTCCGATCCATATGTTCGAGTCGTGAGTGCCGGTATTGAGAGAGGGCGGACTGTCACGTTCAAGAACAACCTCAACCCCGACTGGGACGAAGTTCTCTACATCCCGCTCCAGACAGCGAGAGGCAGAATGCAGTTGGAGGTCATGGACGCCGAGAGTGTAGGCAAGGACCGCAGCCTGGGTCTCACCGAGATTGACAAGGCCGACTACATGGTTCAGGACGAGAACGGCGAGTGGCTCGTGCACGACGAGAAGGTCGAGCATAACGACGGGCTGCGCATGCATAACAAGGGGACTCCTAAGGGCGTGCTGACTTATACCGTGGCCTTCTACCCGACTCTCAACATTGCCGACCCTGAGGAAGAGGAGGAGAAGGAGAAGGAGATTGCGGCGAAGGAAAAGGAGATGGCGGAGAGGGAGAAAGAGGAGGCGGAGAAGGACAAGTCTTCCCTGGCCAGACCTTCTATGGATGCGCGGTCATCTGTCAGACAATCCTTGGACGTGCGATCCAACGACGGCAACGGCAACGGCAACGGCAAGGAACCTGGCACACCGTTGACACCGACCAGCCCTGCGTCTGCTATTTCGCCCCGGAAGTCTCGCGACGTCCGGGAACCGCCCAAGGTGTACCTCACGCCCCAGGAACTGCTCGCTCACGAGTCCGGCGTGGTCATCTTCCGACTCATGGAGGCAGACCTACCCAAGACCCAGACCCGCATCGAGGTGTTTGTCGACGACATGGCTTTCCCATCCTACGTGTCTTCCACGGCAAGGTCTCGGCAAAACAAGTTCGACGAGATGGGCGACTGCTTCATTCGCGAACTGGAGTTTTCAAAGTTGACTATCGTCGTTTCTGAGAGGACGGACAAACACGATGATGCCCACAAACAGCAGCATACCTTGGCTCGTCTGTCGGGCAACACGCTCGACACCCTCAAACAATGCTTGGTAAGTGATGATATGTTTCATGTTGGTGGGACGCAAGCTAACCAAGGCAGAATAACCCCACCGTTCTCAAGATGAAGGGCGAAGATGGCGAGGTGTACTCGATTAGGGTGAGCCTCAAGTACGTCCCGGTCAAGATGCAGCTCGACCCGAGCGAAAGCATCAACAACATGGGCAACCTCCGAGTCGATGTTCTCGATGCCCAAGATCTTCCGGCCGCCGATTCCAACGGCAAGAGCGATCCCTACACCAAGTTCGAGCTCAACGGCCAGGAGGTCTTCAAGACAAAGACACAAAAGAAGACGCTGAACCCGGCGTGGAACGAGTTCTTCAATGTCCCGATCCCTTCCAGGACCGGCGCCAAGTTCAAGGCCGCCGTGTGGGATTGGGATTTCGCCGACAAGCCGGACTTCCTCGGCGGCACCGATATTGACCTAGGGATGCTTGAGCCTTTCAGAGCGCAGGAGTTCAAGTACATCCTGGACGGCAAGTCCGGTGTGCTCCGTCTTCGCATGCTCTTCACGCCCGACTACGTCACCCGGACCAGGCAGGGGACATCGACTTTGGCGGGCACCTTCTCCGTGCCGGGCAGGATCGTAACCGGCGTCGCCGGCGTCCCCCTCAAGGGCGGCGCGGCCGTTGCCGGAGCCGTGGGCCACGGTGTAGGCAAGGGAGCCTCGTTCCTCTTCCGCGGGCTCCGCGGCAAGAAGGACGACGGCGACAGCAGCGACGAGGAGAGAAACTCGGCCGATGTCCCGCTGATCACCACCGAGGGCCCGTCCGAGTCCAAGGCGATTGCGAATGGTACCCCGCTTCACCACACCCGCACCAAGAGTGTGGGCGCGTCGTCGGTCCACAGCGCCATCATCCCGGGCGCGGCGTCCGGCACGGCGTCCTTCACCATCGTCTCGGCCTCGGGCTTCCCGCCGTCGGCTGACATCTACATCACGGTCACACAACTGCGCGAGGACGGCAAGGGCAAGCAGGTCGGCAAGACTAAGCACCGCAAGTCGCCGAGCGGCACCGCCCGCTTTGACGAGACCTTCCGCATCCAGTGCACGCCGGACGCCCAATTCAAGATCGAGGCCAAGGAGCACCACACCTTTGGCAGCGACGACCACCTCGGCGAGATGCTCTATTTTGTCGACGAATCGGGCTCCAACGCCGAGAAGACCCTGCCCGTCGGTAGCGGCACCGTCGTGCTCAAGAGCAACTTCGTGCCCAACCCGGACTCCTCGTCCGCGATCGATGACAGCGCCTCCGGCGGGAGGCTCGTGCCTGACAGCCCCAAGTCGGGCAAGTCAGTTGTAGGTGGCGTGCGCCGCAGCTTCTTGGGCAAGCGGGAGCTCAAGGTGCCCGGCCGGGACGGCACGCCTTCTTAGTGGGAGGGCGGCGGGGCGCGTGGGCTGGGGAGTGTGCGTGGGTTACGGGGGAGGTGATGACGGCATTGCATTGCGTTCTTATTTTGGTGTTTTCTTACTTATTTAGCTTAATATCTCATGATATTGCTGTGTTTAGCGTCGATACCTTGTTTGGTTGGTGGCTGTGGTTGAAGGAGCGGTTGAATATTCCGATTATTCTGTCTCCTCTCTTGGGTTTGGGTAAGTGTATCTCATCCGGGGTGGGCTTGGTCGGGTTGGTGAAAATGGGCAGACGACAGATTGGGTTGGAATATGGATAGGTCATGGGATTGCTGGTGTGGGTTGCTTGGGCTTGATAGTTAATGAACTATTCATCCCGGATGATTTGACATCATGGCAGACTAGCGGGGAAGAAGCGAGGAGCTCTTATCATCAACGATCAATCATCCAAGATTTCTTGTGGGTGTTTATTCCAAATGTTTTTCCAAAAGTGATCCGAGATCCAAGATCCAACCAACGCATCAGTCCAGGATGTAGCCCTGCTCCCCTGGTACCTATCCAACAACCACGAAAGGCCCCCCCTACCAAAGCACAACAACCAATCCCTAACTGTCCTTCAACTTCAGTTCCCCCTCCCCAACCCTCCGCCTCTTCTGCAACAAATAATCCCCACCCACAACCGCTCTATACACCCCATACAACCCCCTCAACGGCCAAACCACCCACAACAACCCCAACAACCACCCCACCACACCCACCCCAATCCCAGCCTCCATCCCCATCATGCTCGTCAACCCCCACCTTGTCATACACACTCGGCAGATGCCCCGCCCCATGCCTCGCCCCGCACCGCCTCGTACGCCGCCCGCCCGGTCGTAGCTCGCTCAGAACTCGCCCTCCGTGTAGAACGCCTGCCCGTACAGCCACTTCTTGCCGCCGAGGGCGTGCACCGTCTGCTCGAGGAGGCGGTTCGCGGCTACGCTCGCGCGGCGGTGGGGATTGGGGTCAGTGAGGGGGTGAAGATGCCGTCTCGGTGGGGGACGGGGCCCCAGGATGCCGAAAGTTGAGGAGTGTTTTTGGGGAGTGTTGATTTTGGGTTGGGGATTGCGGATGGGGGTTGGGGGTGGGTGAGTGGGGGCTGGGCCGAACCTCGGCGTGCAGGCCGGTGCTGGGAGTTCTGGGGTGGGGCCGGTGGACGCGCCAGCGGGCAGAGCCAGAGCGGGTAAGAGCGGGAAGGTGCTGGTTCGAGGTGGCGGGTGAAGGCCGGCGGGCGCTGGCGTAAGGGGATGCCCGACGTCCTCGGATGACGTGGGAAAGTCGGGAAGAGGCCCCGACTGGTGGCAGGCGCGCGGGTAACATGGACGCCGCCCGTGCATGAAGGGGTTGAGCAGGAACCGCGTGATGCGGTTAAAGGGGGTTAGAAAATACCGGAAGGCGTACCGCGCTGTCCAGAAGCCGCCCCGGTCGTATCGGAAGAGGTAGTCGGTTAGTGGGATGTGGTCGACCTCAACGGCGTTGGGGGGCTGGTGGCGGAGCCGTTTCTCGACGCGTTGTGCGTGAACGTAGAACCAGGGGTCGCGGGCGCGGAGGAACTGGCGTGGGGAGGCGCCGGCAGGGAGTTTGTCGACCAGACGCCCGGTGCAGATGATGGTGGAGTTTAGGGAGAATGCGATGCCGTCGACGTAGTCGTTGGGTGTGTCGTCGGCCGTCTCGGACTTTATGACGGACACAACCTCGTCAAAGCCCTTGACATGGCGGTATGTCAACTCGACATACCGTGCTGCGTCCCTCAGTTGGACCTCGAGGAGGGTGACGACGCCGAGGGTGCCAAACGCCGAGGCGGCACCCCAGAACAAATCTGGTTTCTCCGTTTTGGAGGCTCGGGTGACCTCACCGCTAGCCAGCACAATCTCGATCCAGTTGACTGTCGTCTCAAAAGCACCGTAACGGAACGAGCTGCTCTCGCCCGACGTACCCGAGAAGCCGCCGCCAACAGTGATGCCGGGGAACTCCATGACGACCAAGGGGACCAGGCCATGTTCCAGGGTCGCATCAACCAGTTCGTCCATGGGTACATTCGGCTCGACCAAAACCGTTTTCTTCGTTGTGTCAACATTGAGGACATGGTTCATGCGGCTGGTGTCAACAGTGTTGTCCTCTCGCCGCTGCGACTTGCGGGTGCTGTTGGTAGATCCATGATAGACTCTAAATGGTGTTTTGGTTGCATCGAATTGCTGGATCCGAGCGGACACAGCGGCGACGGCGGCCTCGTGAGCCTCCATTCCGGCCGAGAGGGTGTTTTGATAGTATGTTCGTTGATGGTGAGGGGGTGAGAGGCTCGGTCGTCAACACCCAAGCACCAAGTCAGACGTGACTGTGGACTGGGCGGATCAGCCGGGGATACGCTCCTCCAACAAACTGGCATGTTGAGTGAGATGCATGTTGATCACGCCACTAGCAAACGAAAAAAAACCTGTGATTGTTTGGCTGCATTTCAGCATTCCCGTAGGTATGGAACATCCATTGCGTGGATATTAAGGTATTGAAGGTGTTGTATGGTGCGAGGTTAAGCAAGGTTCTCGCATGATGAGTTATCCGGGCCGCTGAAGGCAACTCAAAATCTACCCCATGAAGGAAGTTGAGCGCCTGTGGCTTGCACCTGAACACGCCCAGGAAGATCGAAAGTCGAGAATCGAGCAGATGCAGGAGGATCAACAGCCATTGACCAATGGAAGAATATGATGCGCCAATTCAAGCCCCGCTGCTCACGCTAGTGAACTGTTTCCCCCACCCCAGAGCGCTCATCTCGAAGAACCCCTGGACAACCCTGCAGCACAGCACTGACAGGAGTTCGAGGGCCTGCCACTTGAGCCTAAGTTCGACTCGAGCCGAATAATTTTGGAGATCTGGCGCCGAAAACACCACCACATGGATCACAAACCCTTTCGCTTGCAGCAACCATTTCTACCGATCGAGCGCTCGATCTGACTGCTGCGCGCAGCTGACGAGAGCGCGCCCCCTCCCTCCCGAGGTCCCTCCCCGAGGTCTGTCGTACAGTCCCGCCGATTCAAGAATAATCCTCGAATTTCCGATTACACGTTTCGATTCTACGTCCCGATTCGAAACAGTACACAAAGAAACAGGAAACAGAAAAACATACCTACCTAGAATTGGCCGGCTCATAGTCGGGACCACCCGCCACAATGGACCAAGCCGACATCCCCGCGCTCCTCTCGCGCCTCTCCTCCGACGAGGACGCCGCGCGCAAGATGGCCGTGTTCAAGTTGCAGTCCTCCATCAACGACCCAGCCTTCGCCGACGTCTTCATCTCATCGGGCGGCCTGACCATCCTGTGCCGCCTTATCATGGGCGCCGGCGGCAACACACTCGCCTACTCGCTACAGAGCCTGACCCGCCTTCTGGAGGTCGACATGGGCTGGGACATCTTTGAGGGCCCCGCCGCGGGGGACCTGGTGCAGCGCATAGTCGAGCTGATCGTGACCAACCCGCTGGTCAACATCCTGCGCGGCGCCATGTCCATCCTGGTCGCCCTCGTCGGGAGGTCGCAGTCTTCGTCGGGCGGGCCAGCAGCAGCAGTGGCGGCGGGCGGACACGAGGGCGGTGGTGGTGGGGCAGCAAATAATAATAATACTACGGGCCTCTCGCCACGGTCGCCGGCCGCGCTGCGCACCCCGGGCACGTTTGGGTTCCGCGCGCTCAAGCCCGCCGTGGCCGTGTACCCGCAGTTCTTCGAGCTGGTCATCCAGCAGCTACAGAGCGCCGACCACGCGCTGTGCGCCAACGCGCTGATGCTGATCAACGCGCTGATCCGGGACGCCGTGTCGAACGATGGCAACGGCAGCGGGGTGGCAGCGGCACCCAGGAGCCCCGGGGGCGGCGGCACGAGCGAGGAGTGGAGCAAGTTCATCAAGCGGTTGCAGGATCTCGGTTTGATACGTGCTGTTTATAACCTACTGCAGAGCTCGTCGCTGCAGGACCTGGCGCATCCGCTACTTGAGTTTCAGTCGTTGACAAAGGTGCTGTTGAGGAAGTGGAGGGAGGTGAGGGTGGACTTGGAACGGCCGGAACATCGGAGGGCGCTTAAGGGGCTGCATCTTGCGAGCGCGCCCGGACAGAGGCATGCGACGACGTGCTGGGGGACATCACTGCGACGAAGGGACGTGACCAGAAAAGCAGCAGGAGGCATACCCGGAGAAGTGGAGAGCTGGGCTTTGAGACGGAATCCCCGGCCGTCGAGTTTGAAATCGCCGGTTTCCTCGGCATGATGGATCTGACCGACTATGTGAGGAAAAACGAGGACGGTTTTCAGAAGTTGCTGCTCGAACAGTCGACAAGACCGTTGGGCGAACGGTGCCCCGTGGCAAGGGCAAGTCTGGCTGTCACCATGATTCTGTACGACCACTTCGAGGTGGAAAAGTCGGATTTGGAGGATATCAGGGGCTATTTGGCTCTCAACGACCCTAAGGCTCACGACAAGCTGTTCCACCCCTTGCTGCTGCAGTGGTCGCGGCTGCATACCGCTGGGCTCCATGCCTTCTTTCGTCTGTGGAAGGCCACCGGGGCCCAGCGCGACGACTTTGACAAAGTAGCCGAGCTGGTGCGCGTCCTCGTCGAGCAGGTGGTGGGCCAGTCGAGCAGGACAAAAGACGTGCTTGAGGTGGAGGACGAATTGCAAGAATACGATGCGACACGGTTGCGGGAGTTGCAAATGGAGCTGCTGGGGCTATCCTTCGAGGACCAATGGGGGCCCCACCTCGTATCAGTACGCGAGGAACTCAAGCACGAGGCACTACAGTTCGTTAAGGAGCAACGAATAAGGTGCCTCCTCCAAGGCAGCTGGTTCACCAAGCCGATGCCGCACACCCGGCAGGAGAGCTACACCAAGCGGCGGCTCTACCAACCATGGCGGTACGCCAAGCTCTCCCACAACCGCCGCTACCTCCACTACGCCGACTTCCCCGAGAAGCTGCCCTACGATCCGGGGCTAGACGCCCTCACCGAAAAGATTGACCTGGGCACCATCAGCTCGGTCGTCTCCAACGTGTCGACCAACTCGGAAGGGGACGCCCCGGAATCCGAAGCTGACTACAGCCCCAACTCCAGCACGCCCAACCTCCGCCACAACGGCGCGGCCATCACCACCAAGCCCACCACCAAGATCACCATCTACTCCTTCTCGGACGACATGACCATGGCCACCTCCAGCCTCGGCGCGCACACCCCGGACAACACCACCATCATCTCCACCCACAACGGCGGCCACAGTGGCAGCGGCGGCGGCAGCAACAGCAACGGCGAGGCCGCTAGGGAACAGCCCGTCCTCACGCTGTACCCGCCCAACCACAGCCTGGCGTCCGAGTGGCTGGACGGCTTGCTCATGCTGCTGAGCCAGGCGCCCATCACGGCCGAGACTAATAAGCTCGTCACGTTGGTGAGCGAGTATGGGCTCAAGATTAGGCTGTTGAATGTCAGGTTGGAGCAGATCTATGCGGGGCCGCCGCCGGCTGTGATGGGGGGTGGGGGTGGGGGTGGGAATGGCGTGGGGGTGGTGCCGAGTCGGGAGGGGTTGGATGAGGATTATTTTTATGAGATTTGATCTGATTTTCTGTTTTCTGGGGGAAGGGGGCCTTGGGTTGTTTCTTGTTTGAGTGGAATGTGGTGGGTTTCTCGAGTCAAGGCCTGGTGGCCTTTTTCTTCGTTCTTCTTTTTTTCTTCGCCCAGAGGGATTCTTTCGGTGTTTTCTTCATTTGGTCTCGGATACCCACCCCATGCCCCGTACTACTTACTATATACCATAGCTACATTTATACCCATTTTCTATGTTTTTATACTTTGACGCTTGTACCTTGTTTGTATTATACTTTTCGCGGCCCTAGAGTGCTTGGGTTGCTCTGGTTAGGTAATCTAAACCGTACTACCGGATTCCGGATGCAGCACCTCCTTTTTAAAGAAGTAATATGCTCTGTGAATCGCGTCTATTGAGACCCGTTTATCTACGGAATGATTTATGAAAGCATCGTGACACCCGAAGCAAGGTTCATGTGGGGCCGTCATTCCAGCCCTTCATCTCGTCTCAGCTCCTGCACCCCAGCCCGCTCGATGGAGGGCCTCACTCATCAATGGTCCAATTATTTAGGTAGTTTCAGTCCCTTCGCCAGCCTCGCCAACTCAGTTCTCCCCCGCACAGCGTTCGAAGTCGCCCAAGTTACCCGAGACAAATGCATTTTGTCACCACCTTCGTCACAGCTTTTTCTGAGACCCCCCTGATTTCCGAATCACAAGTTAGACTGTTTATTAACCCCTAAATAATCGAAAGAAAATCGAGTGTCAACCGGCGACAAATTCCCATGTCGGCGTCCGGCGTCTCTCCGCCGTCGAACCAGGCCAGGCGCTGGCAAGCTGTGCAAGGGAAATTCGAAAACGACACATGGTATTGTGAGTCTCGCGCATTCATATGTAGATAGTACTTTGTTGTGCACGTTAGTCTATTTTACCTGACTGCTTCGTCCCCCCAGGCGCATGCGATCCCCCTCTGAAAGCATCATTCCTACAAGTGAAGAAGGCTGGCAACAATGCTGGGCGCTGGTTTTACAACTGCCAGATGCCGCGCGGGGACCAATGTGGTTTCTTCCTGTTTGAAGACGCTGCGCGGGTACTCGAGAGGAGGGCGCAGACCCAAACCGCAGAGAAACGAGCGGAACCGTCCATCTTCAATCGCCCACTGGCAGCCCAAATAAATTCGCCCGCGGGCCCAAGCAATGGCTCACCGGCGGGGAACAGGCCGAGCCCAGCCAGCCACATCCAAAGAGCGAATTACAACTTGGGCCATGCTACTCGATCTGTTCGATCCGACTCGCCGTTCTCGGAAGCAGCTTCGGCCGTTACCGCCCCTCTCTATTCCCCAGCCAGCAGCGTGTTCGGCACCCCGGCCCCGAGACTGGGTATCTTCCGCGGCATTCCCCGCCTGGGGGATAAATCCTGGAGCTCGGACGATGAGGATAGCGATGTTACGGCGGACCTGCCCGCAAAGTCCCCGACCAAGTCCGCGGCCAAGTCCCCCACCAAGTCCACGGCCAAGTCCCCGACTAAATCCGCAGCCAAGTCGCCGGGGAAGTCCCCCGCAACATATCAGTCCAATCTTCACCGGTACCTCGGCCTATCCACCCCGACCCCGAAGAGAAAGCGGTCCAGCGCCGACAACGGAGATGCTGGGCGCAACAATAACGGCACCAATCGAAACGACGCCGTCGTGATCCTCTCCGATCTCGACTCGGACGACGCGGACGATCTAGTCGAGCTCGCCGACTCGACGGAGCGGCAGCTCCATTCCTCGTCGCACCCATCTTCGCAGACCAACGGCCCACCTAGCGGCGCCCGGTCCGGGTCCGGCGGCCTACCCACCCCCGAGACCGGCAACAGCTTCATCAGCGCGTCAGGAGACCGGCCCAGCACCTCCAAGCGCTTCAAAAACGCCCTGGGCCTCGCCGCACCGCCGACACCCACACCCACCCGCAACCGGAACGCCTTCCCGGGAGCAGCAGCAGCAGCAGCACCCAACCACAACCACAGCCCCAACCCCAACCAACCAAAATCCCACCCCACCACCGAACCCCCCTACTACCCCTCCGAAGAAGAAGACGCCCCCATCACCAGCACCATCCTCTCCCTCCTCCAACCCCAACCCATGAACATACCCCCGCACATCCAGCACACCATCCGCACCGCCCTCAACACCCACGCGCGCTGCGCCAAGGGCGTCGAGCGCGCCCGCGACGGCCTGCGCGACACCCTGCGCGTCCGCGACCGCTGCATCGCCGACCTCCGGGCGCGCGTCGATCGGCTGGAGACGGAGCGCCGGTTGCGGCAGGAGGTGTTGAGGAGTGATTTGGAGGCGTTGTCGCAGGGTGGGGAGGGGGGTGGGAATAATAATAGTGGTGGTGGTGGTGGTGGTGGAGGGGATGGGGCGAGTGTGGGGGTTGATGTGGATGTGGGTGTTAGTGATGGGGAGGGGAGGGAATGAAGGAGGGATGGTGGGTGATATATGGTGGTGATGAGGAGGGAGGGAGGGGTGAGGAGTGAAGGGGTGGGGAGCGATGCAATGGTTGAGGAGTGATAAAATGGATGAGAGGGTGGAAGAGTGGTGAGGATGGAGATGGAGAGACATTGATAGTTGGTTGGTTGGAGAGGAGTTGATCGATCGGACAAGGGGTTCAGTTTCGTGGGGGTTATGCTATTTGGGAGTTCGAGTTCAGGACATAGATTGTCGAAATGGGGCATGGAGCAGCGGGAGTGTGTTGGGGATCTTGTATCGAGCTTTTGTTAAATTACCGTCTGTAGCCGGTCTTTCCGGTATTTATTGTTTTTTTTTTTTATCTTCTTCCGCAGTGCAGATTCAACACGGCTCCCGGATTACCTTATCTGTATATTATATCCGTCCACGTTACTCTGTATGTACAGTACAGCAGTACAGAGGAAACTGCGAGAGATCCTAGAGGCTTGGCGACAAGTGCATCAAATCTCCCGGCTGCTGTGTTGACTTTACTTCCTAATCTGGAAGACTGCCACGGTCGTGATTGGCCAAAGCTGACGCGGCCGGGCGCGAAGCTCGCACACGACGTGGGTCTTGAATTGATTGTGGGGTGGACTCTGCTGCACTGCTTCCTCTCCGGAACAACGCGTGTCTGTTCCCAGTCCCGTGTCGGAATTCCCCTCAACACGTACTAAAACTCGTCGTGTCGACCATTGACCATCTCTTCCTCTCACCGTGAACATTCTCTACCTCGGGGCCGAACACGTTCTTTTCTTCCATCCTCTCAGCACTCTTTCCGGGTTTTGGCCGCCTAGCAGCACCTTGTGGAAAATCGTGCAGTTACATTAATCACAGGCTCTCGGAGCTCTCATCGCGTGTTGATGCACCCTCCATCGCCGCCCACCATGGCTTCCCAGACCTCGTCCCTACCGCCGCCCTCTCCTCCCGCAGCTGCATCACCCTCCGATTCTTTGCAGAGCGACAACATAACCCCGGCTGCCTCCCAACAATCACTGCCGCCCACGTCGGACCCCGCGTCGCCCTCCGCCATGGGACAACGCCACCCCAGGGAGCAGCACCCCAAGGGCAAGAGAAATCGGACATCGTATGTCTCGTTGCACCTTATCTTCGGTAGCTTCGCTTGCTGATGTTCGCGTGCTCCCATTGCAGACCAGCCGACAAGGCCGTGCTCGTGAAGGCCTACAGCGAAAAGCCGCAGCCGAACCAGGAGGAGATTGCCGAGATTACATCGCGTGTCTCCATGAACAAGCAGGCCGTTCGCGTGAGTCGACACCGACACCCGCCCTCGAGACTAGTTGGGAGGCATGAACACTAACGAAGTGGTTAGATCTGGTTCCAGAACAGACGCCAAAACGATCGCCGCAAAGCGCGTCCACTGTCGCCTCAACTCATCGAAAGCATCACACAGGGTCGTATCTCCGTGTCTCGCTTCGGCGAGCTTCCCGAGCACACCTCGTTCAACGCCGGGAGCTTCCCAGGCTCCTCCCAGAGCATGTCGACGCCGGAGCAACGGGCAAGTTCCTCCGCCCACTCGGACGCTGCTAGCTGCCGCTCCGAAGGTGCACCGGCGAGCCTGCGGAGAGCGGTGCACCCTGGGGGTTCGGTTTCATTCGAGCCTGCGGAGCCCCCTTCTTGGCCCCTCTCAGGGACGCCGGGTTATGTCTCGAATCGACGGAACACCATCGGCGCCCTCCTCTTGCCCTCAACTTCTGGTCGTCATGACTCCTTCAGGTTTGTGCCCGACCCATTTTGTTGATATGTTCTCGCACTCACCTAGACGCATATAGATCCGAACCGTTCTCATCCTCATGTCCGCTCCCCACCTCTTCCAACGACAATCACGATGGCTTCGGTTGGAAACCGAGCTCGCAGCCGTCTCAGTTCCGTCTGTCGACGTCCATGTCGGGCCAGGCTGAGATCACAACAGAGTCCCCACCCCGCCCAAGCCGCGTACTATCACCCGTAGAACCTCTTCTAGGGTTAGATACCGCCAGCCCCCCAGAACTCCGTCGCTCCGTCAGCTCCGCAAGCCTCAGCCGGCGGGCTCCTGGTCTCAGGCGCAGCCGCTCGAGTAACGTCCGGGTCTGGGAGGACTGCGCCAACAAGGAAACCCGCGAGGATCCGTTAATCAAGCAGGCCAAGCATGAGAGCAGCGGTTCGGCCATTGCGCAGATCGGTTTGCTCCGTTTCTCGAGTGCAACCGGGAGCCCTACTCTCGACCAGGCCTGCAACAACAGCAGCGGCCGTGCGAAGCGCCGCACCCACCCCACGACCGCTAGCCCAGACGCCCGTACCGCCATTTCCAAAAGGGCGAGGCTCGAGCGGTCATGGAGCACCCAGGCCAGGATCGAGACAACACCGGCCCTCGGCCAGCGACACAACGCACAGCCAAGCCGGCCGGTTTCCGCCTACCCCGCGGGCAAGCCCAAGCCCAACGGGCTCGATCACTTGTCGCTGCTGGCCTCGGAAGAGGACAAGGAGAACTGGAGCCCCGACGAAGATGGAAACCCACGCCCCTTCCGCCGTACCCTCTCCACCGGTAACGCCTCGTTAGCATCCTCCGGCCGCCACCGCCTCCCCTCTGGTCCGCCGTCCAGCAAAACTCTCACCGACCGAAATCCACGCCGGACGTCACAGCACCCCCCCGAATCCCGTACATCTCTCACGCGCGCCGCCACATCGCCCTCGTCTTGGTCTGCTTATTCCAAGCAATACCGAACAGGCGGTGGTATCTCCCGGCGCCGCTCACCCGTCAAACCACGGGGTACCTCGCCACTCCTAGTTTATGAGGACGAGGACGGCGTTGAACACGAGAAAACTGCCGCCGACAAGTTCTTGAACGCCGACCATCTCCATCGTTTCGTGGCGGCCGATGATGCCAGTCCGAGCAAGAAGGTGGCCGTTGCCGCTGCGAATTTGATTGCGCTCAAATTTGCACGGTAAAGTTGTGTGTGTGCTGGTTGGTTGGTTGGTTACGGTGTTGTGGCGTGTCCTGCATGCATATGTGCATTGAGGGGCCGTGGATGTGGGATGCGGTTTGGCCCGTTGCGTTCCGTTCGGCAATGAGACGGGGGGTGTGATTGTTTACGCTCACTCCTCATGGGTTGATGAGTGGTGTTGTATTGTGTTGCGTTGTGTTGTGTTATGTTGTGTGTATCGGGTGAATCGGGTTATACCGGGCACCGACACACGACAAATATGGGTGGCCTCCGCCAGCCACTCAGAGCCAATAGGCTGGAGATAAGTCTTGGGCTGTTGGGGCTTGGATTGTTTGGCTACTGTGGTATGCCGAGGGCGTGGATAAGCCAAGTGCTGGTTCCGTCCTGTCCCTCAGGTCACTTGTATATGGAAGGGATGTACGGCACTCGAAAGAGTCGAAGGCTTCTCTGGTTCTATTCGGATACTTAACGTTTTTCCTTTGTCTATGGGATGATGCCCTACGGGGAAGGAGGGAGGCTTCTGTCGGGTTATTTAGGTGTTGCGAGGTCATTTGTCAGTTCAAGAGCGATATTGGACGGCTTGGGCTGCTGCCAGCGAGTCAAAAGAAGAGAGATATTATGAAGAAAAGAAATACTTTGTAATCAGGCTCGAGGCCTCACCATCCATCCATCTCCCAACCTCTGTAGCGTATGCGTGCAAACAAACGGCTCAACCCTTGATGTCGTAACAATGACCCACTCCAGGTCTCAATAGGCGCCGAGTGAAAGTATCGCCACTGTAGTTTTTACACAGTCTCGATCGCACACAACTCGGACGCGCCCGTGAAGACCACACAGCCCAGCAAAGCCCAATCAATATCACAGCCCAACCAGGAAGGAGGGCACCATGTCAGCAAGGCGATCTCCTCCGATTCGACCCCTAGCCCAGGCCAATCGATCAGCGATTGCGGGGTAGCGAGCTCGGGCGGCGGCTGTGTTGTTGTGGTGGGTGGGAGGAGGAGGGGCGCTAAAATAAGGGGGGCAGCCTCGTCATCGCCGATGACATCAAGGATCGATAACCACGGTACGGTATATAGGTATGTAGGTATGTATGATGTGCGTCCTGTCCGCCCCGTTGTCAAACAAAACCAGGCAGACAGGCAGGCATACCAAAACAAGTTCAAGTTCGACTTATGTAGGTAGTAAGGCAAGTAAGTGTACCTCACTTAATAACTAGATCTTTCCCGCCGCCGTCCCTCCCTTCATTCCATACCCCATCATTCCATTCCATTCCATTTCGCTTCCAACGACGGAGGAAGGAATAATAACAAGAAAAAGAAAAACCAGAACGCCCCATTGCCTCTCAAATAATGGCGATCATCCCCGCCCACCTGCCCGCCCGTGCTGTTGCTGCACTGTGCTATAGGTAATCAAATCGCATGCCACAGTTCCAAACCCTAACTCTTTCGCTTTCTCTTCGTCTTCGTCTTCTTCTTCTTCTTCTTCTCTAACGATGCTTCAAAGACAACCAACCCAACTAACCGACCCAACCAACACAAGACAAGACATCCAAAAAGAAGCCTGGCGGCATCAGAAAAAGAAAAGAGGCCAGGTGCAACACAACAAGAAATCTACATGGCAAACATGCTCATCTGCCTCCTCAGGGGGCTAGCCGCGGTGCTGTTCTCCTCGCTAGCATAGCACGCCGAGTCGGTATCGATATCCCACGCCTCGTCCTCCTCGCTACCCTCGACCGAGCCGTCTGCACCACCACCGCCGCCAGCATCGAAGCCCTTCTGGGTGGCGGCGCGCACGTTCCAGCGGAGGGTCCTGGAGACGCTGTCGAACCACTCGGTGTCGGTGCGGACGACGGTGGGGAAGGGGTACTGCGAGGCGGTGATGGTGACGTGGTCGCCCTGCTTGAGCTCGATGCGGCCCTTGCCGTCGAAGGCGCAGTACGCGGTCGCGCGGCTGTTGCGCGGCACCGACACGCGCAGGAGCATCGTGTCGGAGAGGACCATGGGCCGGAACGAGAGCGTGTGCGGGCAGATGGGCGTGAGCAGGATGGCGGGGATGTCGGGGTGCACGAGCGAGCCGCCCGCGGAGAGGGAGTAGGCTGTGGAACCTGCGGGGGGAAGGGTTAATACTGGATGGACATACAAGAGAAGGAGAGTGTGGATGGGAATGCTTACCAGTCGGTGTCGAGAAGATGCAGCCGTCCGCCTGGACCACGGTCAACAGCTCATCGTCGCCGTACAGCTCGAGGTTGGAGACATAGGGCGACGGCCCGCGGTCGATGACCAGCTCGTTCAGGACCTCGAATTGCTCGCCCTCCTCCATCTCCTGGCCCGCAGGGGTGTCGCGGTACACGGTACATGTGAAGCGCATCCGGAGATTCGCACGCATGCCATCCTCGCCCATCACACGGTTCAGGTGCTCCTTGTACCGTTCAAACTCGAAGCTCGTCATGAAACCAAGACTCCCCAGGCTGAAGGACAGAACGGGCGGCACGATGCGCTGGAAGAGCCAGGATGTGAAGAGAACGGTGCCGTCGCCGCCGAGGGTCAAAACCAGGTCGAAGTTCTCCGGTTGGGTCCAGCACAGGTCGGGGGTCCAGTACTTGAGCATTCCCTGGAAACGCGGGTCGAGATCCGTGATCCCCCTGGCGCCGAACCGTTTCGAGTGGCGCAGCTTGGCGTCCACGTAAACGTTGACACCGACGTCGGACCCGTAGCGTGGGGTTTGCAGCAGGAAGAGGGTCAATTCGCGGGTGAGCAGGACCAGCTGGTTGTCGCGCGCCTTGGTCACGATCATAACGTTCCTGACGGCGCGCTTGATGGGCTGACGCTGGAGCTGCCTGGCCACCTCGCGCACGACCTTGGCCGTCTGCACCAAGCGCGAGTGCGACATGTACTGGTCGTGCTTGATCTCCTCGAGGACCTTGTCGATGTCGACGGCGTCATCGAAGCGGTTGTGGTAGAAGCAGGGCGATTGGAGCGAAGGGAAAGCGGCAGTCGGGGTCTCGGCGGCAACGGAACGGGCATTTTGGGCTATGGCGAGGCCGTTGAGGGCGTCACAGAGCTGCTGCGAGGAGGCCGAACCAGGCCGATTGTCGGCGCCGTTCTGGGCGCCGTGTACGGAGAGCATGCCGGTCAACGATAGGGCTTGGGGCTTGTTGTTGCGTGCTACCGAGGCCAGTGCTTTCATGATTGTCTGTCTCGGGACAGACTCGATCGAGGGGGCGTTCTTGCGGTGGCCGCGGGGGGGAACGAAGCTGGCGGGAGCGGGAGCGGGAGTGGCGGGGACGGAGTGGCTGCTGGTGAGCTGCGACAGGTCGAGATCCAGCGGAGCCAGGGTGCCTATTGTTGGCAGAGTGGGCTGCGACTCGGCGACAAAATCATGATCCCGGATTCCTGTCGCTGTTGTCCCAGTTGCAACTGGGGTTGCGGCTGTGGCTGCGGTTGTGGCGGTGGGGGTTCTCGCTGTCGCAATGTCGGCGTCGGGATCGATGTCGGCGTTGGCGTTGGCGTTGGCGTTGGCGTTGGTGTTGGCCTCTGCAGGTGATGATGAAGGAGAACAACTCGCTTCACCGTTGTCCGGAGGCGACAGCTTCAGTGTGAGGGCTGCGCGGGATGATTGCGAGAAGGGACCGGAGTTGGCGGGTGACGGTTTCTTAACTCCCTCCACTTCCGGGTCGTAACGCTCCTGCCGCAGTGGGAGTGGGAGGTCAGCGGGGTGACCCAGCACAACTGGGTGGATTGAGAAACCGGACATGGTTCGAAATTGGTCGAATTGGTCGATTTGGGGGTGGTGGGGTGCTATTTTCGGGCCCGCTTCAGCGCAATCCTGGCAGCTGTTTGGGTTTAGTGGGTTTAGTGGGTTGAGTAAGGGCCCCTGGGCGTCACGTTTGGTCCCTTTCTGCAGTAGCGTCCTGCACCTGCTCTGTGCTGCACTGAATGATCGGATCTCGCGGAGGCCCAGAGTGGTAGGAAAATCCCCCGAAGCGACTTGCGCCGTGTGTTACCTTCCAAAGTCCTGCAAGGGAAAATGAAAGAAATGCACGAGCCGACCCGACACGCTGTTCCACCGACGTCACTCTATGCCAGCGTAGTCGATTCCGGGGCCCGAGGTGATTGGTCAGGCGTCAAAAGACCGGTTGGCGATAACTCTTGCCTTTGCCGCGCTGGCCGATGGGATGGAAATCCAGTCGAAGCGAGATCAACTACCTTGAGAAGCAGATTGTTAGCAACCCAGGCCCCTCGGTAGGTAAGCACTGTAGGGTAAGCACTATAAAGTAAGAATGGCCGGCTTGGCCTGTCAGGAATACGTAGAGACAAAGGAACAATGGGCAAGTGCGGCAATGTGCCGTCCATTACAGGGCCCGGCCCAGCCCATTCCGGGACCCTTCCTGGGCCAAGAGGAGATAGGTAGGTACGGAAACTTCGAGAACAGCGAGAGGACAGCCAGGAAAACGCGGTAAAGCTGAGTACTAACCTCGAAATCCGTCAATGTCGACCTGGGTCGGTAGCCGGATTCTCTCGCACTGTCGTACCGCTGCCCAATACAAACCGGAACTTGGTCTGCGGTCTCGGGGACGGGGCTCGGACTTGATACCGAACGGAGCGGGAAGTGACTTTTGTCTGACGGGGGGCGAGTGAAGTGGCGGGTTGGTGGGGTCAACTGGAAACAAGGCCGGCTGTTGGCAGTCTGGCCGGCTGTTTGGCTGCTGTGGCGTGGCGTTGGCCGTGTAAGTCCACCAGATGGAGGGGTATTGTTGGACGGGGTTGGCGTCGTCGGGACAGGACCCAAAGATTAGAGAATAATAAAAAAAAATAAAAGGTAAAGGAAGAAACCAAATCAAATCAGATTAGGTAATGTCAAAGAACTGCCAGAGCTCTGCTTCCAGACGAGCTCTCAGAGCCAAAAACGAAAAAGAGATGAGTGAAGGGACGGTGGGTTGGGTCACAAGACGAGACTGAGGAGCGGAAAGAACAATGGTTCGAGTTCAAGCGGTTTAATACCTCATCGCGACCGCTATGTTTCCCCTGTGATGGCAGGGGATGGTGAGCCAGGAGGTATGTACTCCGAAGTTTGTTGCAAGGGTGGTTGGGTAGCTTCGAGGGGTGTGATGCATCGCCAAAGTACATCCCTTATTCCACGGGTTGCGTCCCGTTCTGCGGTAGAGAGGCCGCTAGTTTGTATCCACTGCCGTCCCGATACGGCGGCTCAACGTGCCGCCTTATGCGTGGATGTCCATACTCGAGTCAGTAGTATGGCTTCTCGCGGTGGAGGTTGGGGCGCGTGCTGGGACGACAGGTCCCCAGCGATGTAACTCGAGGGTTTCCTTTTCGTCGTAAATCTTCTCATCCCCCGGCTCGCATCATTTTTCAACGTAATAGGGGCCAGCGGCAAACGTGTCCATCCTCTCACTGGATCAGCAGCAGGAACATGTCTGGGCGTTCGGGTATGCGAGTCTCAAAGTGTCTCCTCGAGGCCGGGGTCTGGGGGTTGAACCCGTCGATCCCACTGGCGGCTGTTCCCCCGACTCCTCGCCTCCTGACAGCACAGCGGGAAGCCCTGCAAATCTGCCGCTATCCGCAACGTTGGAGCTGGAGCTCGCGCGCAAGCAGCCGCATAAGGGCCCAGTTTCCCCACCGCGATCCTACGTTGGTCAAAACGTTTGGAACCCTGAACAGCGAATTCCATCGACTGCTGCTCGGCCGTGTTGATGTTCTTTGAAGCATTTGTTAGCCCCAAGAGATGATGCGCTTCCTCCACATCTTGGCGTAAATCAAGCAGGGGCTCCAACGACTCCTCGAAGCGACCGTCTACTGGACCCCGCGGCCTCGAGGAACTCGAAGCATGTTTACTGAGAGGAAGGCTGGAAGGAGAACGAAGCGGCGATTCATGCCAATAGGTTTGTAGCGACGGTCTCCACACCGCTCGCCTCATGGCTGCATTGGCATTGCTCTGGAACACCCCCACATCCCGACAACAACACGAAGAAACCATCAGCAAGCGCCCGGTTTCGAGGACCCATGGTGGAAGTCGTGCAGAAGCAACCTCAGCCGCCTAGACCTCCTGTTAGGTTGCCTTGAAAGAGGCAAGGTCACAGCGCCAGGATACGGTGTAGGGGGCAAAGATGAGATGAAACAAGGCCTCAGCCCGCCGATGGGGCAATCCTAAACATGGCCATGCAAATGGGCCCACACGTTTGAGACGAGTAACACTTCCATCAACGCCATCAAAACACGGAATTCCGAAGCAGAAGGACGAGGTGCCGCAAAAGCCTCGCCAAGTGGCATTGATGGTTTGTTTGGGTGATTGCACCAACTGCCCGATGCCGTCCATGGCTTACTGCCGATAGCCGATGTATAGTCGCTTCGCCGTGCAACAATTCGGGCCGGCGTTGTGTCCCCATGCTTCATCAGCCTAGTTCCTTTGCTCTGACAAAAGGTGTGAGGGTTGTCGTGCGTGTTTTGGAAATTCCACACCCGCGATGTGAATGGCTATCGTCCTTGAACGGTTTCCGCCTCTCCCTCCATGAGTTCATACAACGCGCCCGCACGCACCGAATTTGAACATGGAGCTCGGGTCGGCATCTGCTTCTTTGGATCGAGTGCGACTGGCTCTCACAGCGGCTGTTGACTCATTTCCAATGAAGATCCGCGGCAACCTTCGACTCCATTGTCGACCGAAGAAACTGCCGCATGTCCGTGGCGCTGGGTTCCTCGTCATCGAGTACCATCGCCGTCCCTTCCTTTACCGATGTAGAGCGGCAGCAAATTCCCTTGGCGGTTTCGTAAACATCGTCCCACTCCCCGACTGTGAAGTCTCCCTCGCTCTCGGCCAGGAGCAGGCCATTGTGAGACGTGAAAGCCAACACGTGGACTGAGCTCGCCGTTTCGACCTCTCGCTGCGAAGGATCCACTACCGTCTTCTTGGCCCCATCTTGATGCACAACCGCAACAGCAGTGGCGGTTGCTGTGGCCCTCATCGGCACGCCGGCTGAGAGAAGCGCCAAGATGGCCGTTTGCACCAATGCCGGCATAATAGCAAAGTTCTATCGCAGCGATCAGTAAATAGGCTCCATCTGTCTTCAGGGGCCTTCTCTCACCAGGCTCGCCTGGACAAGTTTCGTGTTCACATAGTCGTTCTCTGGCGAGTCTTCTATCTGTAGCACAACCTGAATGAGGGAGCGGGGGAAGTTCTTGACGAGGATGAGCTGTGCGAGTGAAGACTGGAGAAGTGATTCAAGGTGTCGCTCCCGGGTCCCTATATAGCAAGGTCAAATCAACGGTGAGAAGCCCCTCCTTAATTTTTTTTTCGGAGCAGCGCGGGAGCTCTTACCTCCAACCCCTGCCGCTGGTCGTACGATAACTTCGACGTGTGCCTCGTATGCATGCTCATCCCTCCGTTGGGCTTCAATCGGCCCATTAACCGACGCCGTCAGGGTGTAGCCGGCGTGAGAGTATTTCGCAGATCCGTCTGACCGCGGAAGAACCCCAAGCGCGGCTTTTGGTGCTGATGTTGCTGTCATGATGAGATTTGCTTTGCAAGTTGTGATGGATTTGCGGCTCCAAGGTTGGAGTTGCTAAAATTCAATGAGCAGGCATGGATCCCACCACTGGATGCAGTTTGCTGGGCTGACCTGCAGCAGCGATCGGCCCCGCATTCTAGCGTCTCCAGACAGCTTACGGAGGTTACAGGCAAAAGTTTTCAAAGTGGGTCAGGTACTGGCAAGGGTTATGGGCAGGGGCCAAGCAAAGCCCTCGAAGTACCTCCTGTTGCCAGAGCGCGTCGCGCGCAGCAGTCAATTCAAACATCACCAGCTTCGCGATGTCTTCAGAGCTCCCCTCTACGCCGCCGAGCCATCATTCTAAGAGCGCCCATCTCTCTCGCGATGAGCGGCTTCAAGTTCAGACTCTCCGCAAAATGTGGTTTTACATACGAGCAAATCGTCGCGCAACTCGGCTTTACCTACAACCAGGTCGGACATGCCTGCCGCGCCCCAAACATCACGCCAAAGAAACGCTCTGGTCGGCCCGGCCTTCTCAATCCAGAACAGATTGAAGATTTGATTGCGTTCATCACTTCCTCGAAAGCTACTCGCCGAATGCCCTACTCCAAAATCCCTGCTGCTCTAGGCTGGGACTGTTCAGAGTATGCGATCCGCTACGCCCTCCGTCAAGCCGGCTTTAAACGTTACGCGCGTGGGAAGCAATCCCCGAGGAAATCCTTAGAGAGCGTGTAGATACAATGCCTATACGGCAGCAGGCAGTTATTGATGCCAACGGAATGCATATTCCTTTCTGAATTGACTGCTGCGCGCGATGCGCTCTGGTAACAGGAGCTTGAGAGGAGGTACTTCGAGGGCTTTGCTTGGCCCCTGCCCATAACCCTTGCCAGTACCTGACCCACTTTGAAAACTTTTGCCTGTAACCTCCGTAACAAAGCTCCCATTTGCAGGGGTATCTGAGCAGCCAAGGAACCATCAGTCGACTTCAACTTGCCACTTTCAACTTCGCACCTGCAACTGGCACTAATATCCAAACGTCAGGGTCAAAGATCGAACGATTAATCTCGGCTATCAGGAGATTGCAAACTCACAAAACATGACATCAACATTACCATCAACATTGCCCAAGGTGCCGGGGGAGGGAACTAACTCCTCCGGCCCAGCTCAACCCCCGCGTTTGCTAAGCGGGGGAGCTATTCCCAACCTCAAGGATCGTATCCCGAAATTGGAACCCCGGCGGAGGAAGGCCGAGCCGGCGAACCCGATGCCCGTTCCGGAGACACCACCAGCACCGCCCCGTCCAGACCCGGCAGCCCTTAACTTCACCATCCCCACCAGGCGAATCCTCTCCCCACAAGATCACCAGCTCTTCCTATCCTCCCCAACCTACAACCTCATCCTCTCCTTCATCTTTGGCCTCTCCGAGTCCGTCGTCGACAGGCCCATCTCCTCCGTCAGAGACACCGACCTCTCCCCCACCGTCCAAACCATCCTCACCATCCTAGACGAAACCGACGCCCTCTGCCAGGAATCCCCCCCAGACGACCAAGGCGGCTCCCGCTTCGGCAACAAGACCTTCCGCGTCTTCCTCGACAAGGTCAAGCAGCGCTCCCCAACCTGGCATGCCACCCTCCTCAGCCAGCAGCCCGAGTCCAACGCCATCCCCAACTCCACCGCCGCCGCCGCCGAGCTCTCCACTTACCTCTGTCAATCCTTCGGCAACCGCAGCCGCATCGACTACGGCTCCGGCCACGAGCTCAACTTCGTCATGTGGCTACTCTGCCTGTACCAACTCTCGCTCCTCCAGCCCCCCGACCTTCCCGCACTCGCCCTACGCGTCTTCACCCGCTACCTCACCGTGATGCGGCGCATCCAAAGCACCTACTACCTCGAGCCGGCCGGCTCGCACGGCGTGTGGGGGCTCGACGACTACCAGTTCCTGCCCTTCCTGCTCGGCGCCAGCCAGCTCACGCACCACCCCGTGGTCACCCCCCGGGCGATCCACCAGGAGCTGATGCTGGAGGAGTACGGCGCCGACTACATGTACCTGGGCCAGGTGGCGTTCGTCAACAGCACCAAGACGGTGCGCGGGCTGAGGTGGCACAGCCCCATGCTGGATGACATTAGCAGCGCGCGCGGGGGTTGGGCCAAGATTGAGGGCGGGATGCGCCGCATGTTTGTGAATGAGGTGCTGGGCAAGCTGCCGGTGATGCAGCATTTCTTGTTTGGGAGTCTGATTCCCGCTGCGGAGGGGATGAGTGAGCCGCCGGAAGGGGGGGCTGCTAGCAATGGTAATGGGGAGGGAGGGGACGATGATGAGGAGGAGGGTGGTGAGGTGGAGGTGTTTGATGATAAGGAGGGGGTGCGGCATGTGCATCAGCCGAAGGGCTGGGGGGATTGTTGTGGGATCAAGGTGCCGAGTAGTCTCGCGGCGGCGGCCGAGATGAAGAAGAGGGGGGCTGGGGAACAGTTGAGGAGGATACCGTTTGACTGAGGGGGGAGGGTCGTGAACGGGTTTATTAGTTGATTTGTTTAGCCAACTAAGATAGATTTGGTCACACAAAAAGCATTTACAAGACTCGAACCTCACAACTTGCCTTACCCTCCATATTACCAAGTCAAATACAGTTAGTTGGACGCAACTTCGACGAGATTAGTGCAATAAGATTTCCTTATTGCCGCTCAATTACCTAAGTAAGGTACCTAGTTAAGATGGCCCCAAAGCGCACGCGAACCTTCCCCGGACCAGAAGCTCCCAGCTGCCTAGAATACAATCCCGTACTGCGGCGACCGCCATGTCGCCCTGATGAATGCCGATGGAGAAGGGTATCAGAACAACGGATTCTCCGCTAAACGCCTGCCAATGGTGACAACCCTTTGTCATGATGCCGAATAAGAAAGCCGAAACAAAAACAAAAAAACCAAGACAAATCTGAGGTGCCATTGCACCTCTCCCCGCCCAGCCGATGGAGCCACTATATGGGCATATCTTCCCACGCTCTTGGCTCTTCCGGGTCGTTGAGAATCAAAAGCCGCTTCTGCGGCGCTCGGTCTGCCCAATCACTGATGAGGTGCAGACACCGAGGACCTCAATCCTCCCATATGGTCTCCAGGTCCAGATCCTGCCGCCTTTCGGCGCCACACACACTCCATCGCTTTCTCTTGTCGCGCGAACCGAAACCGCTCAATGTCCGGCCGCGAGTGGGCACATCCAAACTGCCCCTCCCCTTGGTTTCTCCGCCCTCGGCGGCGTCCGCAGCGGCCTTGAGCTGGGCGATCCTCTCCGACTCCAGAGCCGCTTCTTCGGCATCCGGGGAATCCGGGATGGTCTCGAGACTGGAAATGCTGGGGCTCCTAGATCTGGCGGACGTGGGGGTCGAGGGCACAGAGGAGGACGGGTAGTATCCGTAACTGCTAGTGAAAGTATCGTAGGGTCGGTACGATGGGGAGGTGGCAATTGAGGAAGGTGTCGTCGGGGTTCCGCCGGTCAGTAAAGCCGGGCTGGGAGTGAGAAACCTGATACAGCGGGGAAGATGGTCTCCGCAGTTTTGGTACCGATGCGATGGGGGTGATCCCCAATGCTTGATTGGGCGAGCTGCTCCCTTCTGATATCTTTCGCTCAGGGTCGAGAACGGATATGCGAGTCGGCGAGGAAGGAAAGCCTTCGTCGACCGGCTTTCGGGGGAGGCGGACCCGGCTGGGTGACCCCGACGGGCTCTGTGGGCGGATATGGGGAGAGAATAGAAGGTGGCCTGTGGCGTTTGTGCCGGGCATAGACTGGGTGCGCCCCATGGGAGGAGCCAGGCTTGCTGCCGACCGTGATCTGACGTGGTTGCTAGACAACGGCGAAGACGCTCGGGGTCGATGGGGAAGAGCCGGTGGCATCCAGGACGGGGAAATGGGGGAGGACGGCGACGGATCAGTCGATCGGCGGATGGTAGGAGGTTTTCGGAGGGAGTCAAACTCGGGAGCGAGTGATGTGGTCGCCGGAAGTCTCAGGCTCGGAAGAGGGGAAGGTCGAAACTCCTCCATCCTCTCCGTTTCGGGAACTGGCTCCATGTTGACCGAGGTATGAGGTGCGCTCGGGGAACTGGGCCTGTCACGAGGGGGGAGTGTGCATAGGAGTCGGCGGCGGTTCGATTTGACGTATTGGCAACTGCGGAAGTAGTTGTTGAAGAACGAGACTGGTCGAATAACGGTCGCAAACGAGTTCCGTTTGCGGCTCGGACTTGTTTGTAATTCGAGTCAATGTGTCAATGTCGCTCGCTGTCTGGTAACTATGGCCGGAACCGTGTTAGGCGCGGCTGGGTGAAAGCCCACGTGTTAGGATCATAGAATCCTCGCCGGTCGCTTCTCAAGTCGGTTCCGAGGTCATGGCCGGCGGAAGGGTTGAGAAAACTACTTGTAATTAAGTTTCTGTGGGAAAGTTGGAAGACGGTGAGTCGCCCGAGGCCCTTGATGTGCAGGCAGGCGCTCCTGCCGGATGATCAGAGAAGGGGAACTCACCACGGTTGGCTGGCTTGCAAGGCTCGTTCCGGAATGCAGGGTCGAGGCGGGGTCTTTATCCGGCAATAGGCGCCAATCGCCTAGTGAGAAGCCCGCAAAGACGGGGGAGCTGTGGGGAGCAAAGGCGCTGATTGGGGACGCTAATCACGCGCCGCCGTGTTTTGCATGCCGAATTGTTAGTTTGGACAGGAACGAATCCAATCGCCGACAGTGGCTCAGAAGAGCTGAGCTCCCGTCTGTGTGAGTTTGGCTTTCCTTGCAACCAAGAATGTTGAATCGGAGTCGGAGTGTTTCGGCGCATTCACAGTGACAACCGGGCAGCTCTCAACAAACTACCTATGTACCAAGTACAAGGGGCCCAAGTCGGACAACTCCCATAAATACCGGCCATAGGGAGAAATGCCGGTTCCCGTCCCTAGTTAAATGCCTCTCTTCTCGGGAGCCCGGGTGCTCGGATCACGATCGTCCGCCGCCCGAGCGGCCGACCCAGGAGAAACACCCCCTTCGCCACACCACGCCATGTCGTTGCCGATCCAACGGAGCTAGGAGTATTGAAGATACGACAACTAATTCGTAACTAGCTCAACAATCCATCGGATATGTTCACGACTCGACGACTCGGTCCTTGTTTCACTCGAAACTTTGGCCGCATGCAAGCGCCAAGGTCTGGTCTAGCTCGCATGTGGATGCGCAATTACGAACGACTCAAGCAAAGGTTTCAAAACGACCTCGACATCCGGCGGCTTTGTCGGCGGGCGGATGGGACGCGGTTCCAGAATGCCCGGGGAGTACCCTGTTGACACTTTCTAGTACCTAACCAAGACAACTCGGCATCCTGCTGTGTGTCAAGTGCCTTAATTGGTCAAGTCGTTTAGTGCCCTGAGAACCCGTCATGCGACCCTGTCTCTATCGACAAGGAGTAAAGATCTTGATCGCAACAGAGAGGGGACATGGTTCAGGTCGGTAGGTGTTATTATGCGCTTCCTGCAACTCGCCCAGGTACCCAGGCTGTTGTAGAAACGATGCATTCTCCGTCACCAGACAGCCGAACAGGACAGAGCACCCGGCCCGGATCTCCGCAATCCCGGAGCGCCCGGTCCTGATCTCCACCGGAGGTCTTTCGGCTTTCGCCCGAAGCTTGATTGGCACTCGGCCCCGGTCGCAAGCGGAAGGAAAACGGGGGACAAAGTCTGTCGATGCGTTGGTTGGTGAGGCCGAGTGGATAGAGTAACTGGTAGCACTCAGTAAACTCCATGAAATAGCCTAGCAGTCTGGGTATGCAATGCCGCTCCTATATCTTTAACGGTATAGGATAAAGTAGTCGCGATACCTTCTTAATGCCTGCAGCTATAAGCATATCACCACTCCAGTGCTATAGAAAATATCATTTTTAAAGTGTGAGATGTAGTTAGCATAGAAGTACTGTGACGAACCTACTCCAGGACCCTGTCCTGTTAGGGTTCAGCTTCGGTTGAAGGTAATCTCTCAAGGGTGCTTAGGTTCGGTGCAGCCAAAGAGTGCACAACAAAGACTTGTCTCAACAGTAGGCTCTCGAGCTTGTAGCGAACTGTAGTTGTGATTGCTAACTGGAGAACTCCCAGAGCTCTCCAGAACGAGTGACTATATACCTAGCTAATTCCAGGGTGCTCAGTGTGCTCAGTCTGCCCTTGGCAACTGAGCTCACTGATCACTATCGAGCTATTGTTATCCTGATTGGTGATCTTTACCTGGTGCTCAGTGTGCTCAGTCTCGGCTTGGCGACTGAGCTCACTGATCACCTCGATCACCTTCCTGGCTCCCTGATTGGTCCTTTTAATGATTGCCTCGGGGCGTCCCGCGACCCGAGGTCCCTCCTGTTGGCATATTCGTGACAACCTATTTTAATGAGAGATACTTGGATGGATGGATGGAATTTATTTCGCCCGGAGGCACTGGGCCTATAGGGCCTTAGCACGCCAACTACATCCGGATCAAATCGTTTTGCCTTTAACTCGTTGAGAGATACTTTTCGGACTATGTGACCGCCCCCCCGGACTATGCACGTGACTCTCCACATACATAACCCCAACCCTGGCGCGCGTGCCCCTCTCCTTTTCGCACTCATCCATCAACTCAATTGAATTCAATCAACAACGCAGTCAAATCTATCAACCTGGGAGCGGCTGAATCGCTAAAAAAACGCAATAAAAATTTAGATCTAGAATATTGCGAAAGTGGTGGAGGTAGTTCAGGGAGGTCGTCGTCTTCGTAACCAGGTACGTGTAAGTCAGCCATGGCTGACAAGGCTAGAAGGTTGTAAGTGCGCCAGGGTTAGGGTGAGGTAGCTTACAAGATGCCAGCGACTGCAGATTTTATCGCGTTTTCGAAGGAATTCAGCGATTACTACGTTGTTGGGAATCGAGCGCTTGTTGCGTTTCTGAAGAAATTGAGCGTTGTTGATTGAATTCAATTGAGTTGATGGATGAGTGCAAAAAGGAGAGGCGCGCGCGCGCCAGGGTTGGGGTTGTGTGTGGGGAGGTGGGGTCACGTGCATAGTCCGGGGGGGGCGGTCACATAGTCCGAAAAGTATCTTCCATTTTAATTTTAACTACTCTAACTATAATGTTTATTCTTCTAAAAAAATGATATAACTAGTTATGTGATTTTCATTTACTGATCCATTTTTTGAACTAAAAGTAAGCCATTATAAGAGCACAACGGGCCGTATCAGGCCGTATCAGGCTGTATCGGGCCGGCGAACGACGACCTACAGTGCCGATTATGTCAAAGATACGGTATTACTCATACGGCCAAGCTGGTTGTACCAGGCTGATTGTATGATGGAGGCTGATTGTGAGCGATGGATTTGCCACCATCCGCCCATAAACCATGGCGCACCGCCCACCCCAGCTGCCTTTCCTTTCTCATCACACTCGCTTTCAACCTCTCAGTCAAGTGATATTTTTTCCTTGACTGTATATTTCCTTATCCTTCCGAAGTCGCTGTATTTCAAAAAGCGCACACCACCATGACGACGAGGACTTTCACCGTCGTGGAGCCTTCGGAACCGGGGCCGTCTCAGAGACGTCCTCAACGAGGAAGGAGAGCGCGGAAGGGCCAGTCCAGCAGACCAAGAGGACTGGCTTCTTCCGGTGAGGGTAGCGAACCGGGGCCAGCGCAGCCAGCGTCGGTTATCGTCGCCACTCCCGCCGTCGCCGTCGCCCCCGCCCCCGAAGCCAGTAACCAGCCGGGACGGGGGCGGCGGGCGCAAGGCGGGAGCCGTGGCGGTAACCGACGGGGTGGCAGTCGGCGCGGCACTGGTCAGCGCTCGGTGGTGGTGTCGCACCGAGGTGGCCGAAGACCTCCCTCGCCTCATCGCCAGGGAGGGAACAATACTCCCAGGCCCAGCCTCAGAGCCACCGCCGCCGAGTTTGTTCCGGGCCAGCCCACCCAATCCTTAGGGTTCGTCAATACCCAGCCATCCCCCCAGCAACGTTATACTGACAGAGATCAATAGTGCTGAGCCCTCCGAATCAGGTCCGGGGACAATGCCCGTGATTCTAGAGTTCGTGGCAAAGTCCACGGCACCGGATCTGATGACTCGGATCCATGAGGATATTGATCGCTGCCAGTACGAGTGTATCGTCTGCACTGGCGAAGTGCTGCGGACCACCGAAATGTGGTCCTGCTCGATATGCTGGACATCGATCCACCTCTTCTGTGCGCAGCAATGGTATACAAGCCAGCTGCAGCTCCGCGAGGACTTCCCTGGGGGTTACCGTGGCGCCGACGATGACTGGCGGTGTCCGGGTTGCAACTCGGGGCTTGTCGGCAAACCCGAGGTCCACCATTGCTGGTGTCGCAAGGAGACGGACCCCCAGCCCATCCCCGGGCTCCCCCCCCACACCTGCGGGCAGACTTGCTCGAAGCCGAGGGCAACCTGCCCGCATCCGTGCTCATTGATGTGCCACGCAGGACCTTGTCCGCCGTGCACACTGATGGGCCCAACTCAGTCGTGTTTCTGCGGGAAACACACCTCCACCAAGAAATGCAGGGAAACCGACTACGGAAAGGGTTGGAGTTGCCAAGAGATCTGTGGTGACCTGTTTCCCTGCGGAGAGCATAGTTGCCCGCAAATCTGCCATCCTGGGCTGTGCGGCTCTTGCGACATCCCCACGCTGTCCGTATGTTATTGCGGAAGGGAACAACGAGAGATACCTTGCAGTCAGCGCGGTGACATCCTGGAGTCGTTCAACCATGGGCAGGCCAAGCTCCCATCCGGCATCGAACAGACCCCAGACCAGTGGTTCGAGGGATCTTTCCGCTGCACCAATATCTGCGGCCGGCCATTCGACTGTGGACACCATCTATGTTCAAAGCCGTGCCATTCCCAGGATGAAGCGGCCGCCCACTGCCCGCTATCGCCAGACGTCGTCACCCACTGCTCATGCGGGAAAACTCCACTCGCTTCCATGTCCGTGGAACCAAGACAATCGTGTCAGGATCCGATCCCGCACTGCAACAAGCCCTGCAATAAGGCTCAGACTTGTGGCCATCTGTGCCTAAGCGAATGCCACACCGGCCCTTGCGCACCTTGCACCCGGATTGCCGATATACCGTGCCGATGCGGTAGGGTAACGACCAAGTCCTTGTGTCATCAAGGCAACATCTCTCATCCTCATTGCTTCCGCATTTGCAAAGCCCACCTCAACTGCGGGCGGCACGAGTGTGGAGAGCACTGCTGCCCTGGCGAGAAGGCGGCAGCCGAGAGGCGGAAGCACAAGCGGACTGCCAACGAGAACTATGAACCTGAGCACATCTGCTTCCAGGTATGTGGCCGCCAGCTCAAGTGCGGTAAGCACACCTGTCGACAGCTCTGCCACAGAGGGCCATGCCCTTCGTGCCCAGAGGCCATATTCGACGACATCAGCTGTGCCTGCGGACGAACCATTCTCCAGCCGCCACAGCCCTGTGGGATGCCGCCACCGGAGTGCCGCTTCGCTTGCACGAGAGCCTCCCCATGCGGCCATCCATCTGGTCCCCACCTGTGCCACACCGACGAGACGCCCTGCCCGAAGTGCCCGTATCTTGTGTCGAAGCCCTGCGTTTGCGGCAAGAAGGCGCTGAGGAACCAGCCCTGCTGGTTTGACGAAGGAAGATGCGGTCTTCCATGTGGGAAGAAGCTCAAGTGTGGAGCGCACGAATGCAGAAAGCCATGCCACAAACCTGGAGAGTGCGAAGATGCTGACATTTCAGGCTCACACTGCCCTCAACCCTGTGGCAAGGTACGAAAATCCTGCGAGCATACGTGCGTCGACCAATGCCACGCGCCCTACGCCTGTAAAGAGGACAAACCGTGCCAGTCCAAGACATTCGTTACCTGCCCTTGCCAACACCGCAAGCAGGAGGTCCGATGCCAGGCTACGAAGCTCACCCCGTCGCCTGCCGGAAAATCGACCCTTACCTGCGACGACGAATGTCGACGGCTCCAGCGAAACCGGAAGCTCGCCGAAGCTCTGGACATCGACCCCAGCACGCACGCCGATGAGCACATCCCGTACTCCGACACTTCTCTCAAACTCTTCCGAGAGAATGTCAGCTGGGCTCAGACGCAGGAGCGCCAACTTCGCATGTTCGCTGCTGCCCCCGAGGAAAAGCGCATCAGGTTCAAGCCGATGCCACCTCACCAGCGTGCGTTCCTCCACGCCCTCGCCGAAGACTTTGGCCTTGACTCGGAGAGCCAGGACCCCGGACCGCATCGCCACGTCTGCGTCTTCAAGACGCCGCGGTTCGTGTCCGCCCCCAAGAAGACCTTGGGGCAGTGCCTCCAAGTGGCCGACAAGGCGGCTAAACTCCGCACCGGAGTTTCCGCCATCGCTCCCAAGTCCTCCCCCCGCCGCCAAGGATCCCCCTTCAACGCGCTCATGTTGGGGGGGTGGCCGCTTCGGCCTTACCAGCGACGAGCTGGACGCGGCCCTCGCCCCAGAGCTGGGCCACCGCCTCCCGTGGCGGGCCCGGCTCTGGCCTTCACCACCCGTTTCCTCCCCTCGGGAGGAAATCCTCATCGTCGCCGCCCCCGGCCCCGCCGCCATCACGGCCGACCCGCAGGCGGTCGAGACGGCCCTCTCCGGCCTCAAGCCCGCCGTTGCACGCATCGTCGCGCGGGAGAGGCTCGCCGCCTCTGTCGTGCTGTGCCACGTCGACGCCGCGACGGGAGAGGTTGTCCGCCGGGAGGGTGCTGTGGCTGCGGATGCTGGTGAGGGGTGGAGTGCGGTGGCCGGCCGCGGGTCAGCGCGTGGGGGGAACAATAGGGGGGCTTCGGTGAGTGGAGGGCTTGCGCGGGGTGCGGGCGAGCAGAAGAGGGCTGGGGGGGTGTTTGTGGCGTTGAGGAGACTAGAGATGAGGAAGCGGGAGGCGGCGGGTGGTGCTGGGCAAGGGGTGGAGGAGGATTGGCTGGCGGCGCTTGAGAGAGAGGAAGAAGAGGCGGAAGAGAAGGAGGAGGGGGTGGAGGAAGCGGAGGGAGAGGAGTGAGAGGAGGAATGAGCCAGTGGATGGGAGACTTGTGGATGAGTGTTTAGGCGAGCATTATGATTTAGTAGCGCGGGAGTTCCGGATCTCGGCATATACCCTATACACTCTTAGCATCAATATACGCTGCTTGGCATCAATAAATATAATGCAATGTTTGATATAAAGTAATGGGACGGTCTAACATCCCAATCCGCAACTCCGTTTACCCCTCCCCTTGGATCATCACACCATCTTTGGGCTTACAGCCGGCTAGCGTCGGATTGCATTATTCCAGCACACCCGACACACACACACACACACGACACATTCTCCGGGATATCGCACATATTCCGTGCGTTCGGTCATAGTCTAATGAGAAACCTGCTAAATTCCAAGCGCAGGCCGGGGTATCAAGTGTATCTCGAGAAAGCTGGAATGAAGAATGCCAGGTCCACCCGCCCCCCTCCCCTTTTTCCTCTACCCCCGCACCAAAACCTCGGGCATCATGCATCCAGTAGTTCCGTAACCAACCCGAGACACTGTCTCGTTTCCTGTCGTGGCACAATAACACGGCCAGCTCATTGCTTCTCGCCGTCCGCCGCCACTATCCTATTCATAAAGTCCACAATGGCCTCGAAGTAACCGTCCTCGACCACACTCGAGTTGTGATCGCCGCCAGGGAGAGGTTTCCAGACCTTAATGGGGGCTTTTGACAGGTCGTGGAGGCGCTTCATGTGAATTGGTCTGGGTCACATGAGTGTTAGCTTGGATACCACAGACTAGTACAAGCAAAGGCGGATAGCTTACGGTATCAGTTCGTCCTGGAGCCCGCTCAAAAAGAGCGTCGGCACCTTGATGCTGGGTATCAAGCTGTCGCTCGGCCAGACCTGGTGGCACAGATAGGCCAGGTATTTGGCGGGCGGCATAATGGAGGGAATCAGTTTGCGCATGCTGAGGAAGGTGTTCTCGAGAATCAGTCCGCTGATGTCCGCGCTAGCCTGGTTCTTGGCGACGAGACGGATGCCGACAGCGCCACCCAGACTCTGGCCATACACGACGATCTTGTGGGCGCGGGTCTCAGCCCGGTCGCGGAGGTAGTCGAGGGCCGTTTGAGCGTCAATGTTCAGGCCAGACTCGTCAGGTTCGCCCGTAGAGATGCCATAACCGCGGTATTCGAGCATAAAGACATTACAGCCGGAAGCGGCGATCAACATGCGTGCAATGGGCAGACGATGACCAATGTTGCCAGCATTTCCGTGGAACATCAACACCGTCACCTTGGAATTTGGCCCACCGCGAGGCCCCCGAATGTAGAAGGCCGACAACTTTTCGCCATCGTTGGTTGGAATGATAAGCTCCTCGTAGTCTTTGAAGTGGAATTGGCTCGGGCGCGGGACGTCGGTGCGGGCGTTGGCGGGGACGTGGGAGGGATAAATTAATGCTCTATAGACGGGATATCGCGTTAGAATGAGGGATATCGAAGGGTGAGACGCGAGGGTCGGGATATCATTCACTTTTGTTTAAAGTAGAGGAGACCAGTCAAGACCGCGGCGATCCCCTAGACGAACAAGTGAAACAGTTAGCCAACAAACACACATCAACTGCGAGTTGAGGCCGGCAAGGAAAATCTTCCAACTTGCCCCCTGAACCAGTCGGCGCGGTTGGCGGCGCAGCCATTCAGGCACTGGGCGGGATACACAGAGGTGTCGGGGCATACAGTAGAAGCTATCGCAGGCACGCGCATGTAGCCTGCTGCACTGCTCAACAGCGAGCCAGTCTGCTCCAGGAAAGAATTGCTGGCCGACGGGACCGGCATGACGTGTCGTCAGAAGGGTTGGGAAAAAGGGCGGTAGGCGGAATATAGCGGCCGGGTGGAGGACCTGCGGTCAGGGATGAGATTGAGATGGAGAAACGAGAAACGACCAGGTGCAGATGTGGGCAGGGGGATGATGAATTTGGCGGCGCCCCTTCCAGTCCGGCGGTGTCACTTGTTGGGGCGGGAAAGCCTAAAATGCGGAGCTCATGCCCAAAACCTCTAGCTTCTGCGCTTCCCTCGCTGTTTGCTGCAAGTTCCTGCGTGCTGCTGCAGGGAGGGTTTGGGGAAAGTGCAGCAGTGTGGAAATTTGAATGCAGGTCGAAATGTCCGCGTTGGAGAGGCGGAGCATGATGTAATCGCCATCCCAAGCGGATCGCCCAATTCATTTTCCATTCGGCCCAAGACCCGGCCGATCAAAGAGGCCATTCTCCTCTCCCGCTCTCTGGGGCGCCCCGGCCCCGGTGGAGGTGGCCCGACTCCGGCTACCAGGCCGAGATAGCGGGCCCGCGGCAATGCAGTGGATGGGATGAGCCGATCACCTGGCCAGACAGAATATGGCCGCCTTTCCAAGGGAAGCTTAATTCGGCGTTCATTACTTGGACTATTAACGAATTCAGGGGATTGCCGAGCCTTGTCCCGGACGACTTCATCCTTCGGCTCCCACACTTTGCTGCTTGAGAAAGGCTAATCCGTTTGACGGCGACGCAATTGGCACATCTCCATACTCGCGCGCAACACCGAGCTCTCGCATTGGATCGTGCCGCGTTCATGCACCCCGTCGACGATTCCATCAGGCCCGTCACACTGGCGATGCGCTAGGCCCAGGCAGGATCGCCAACCACTCGGCTGGAAGCTGTTGCGCAAAGTCTGAAACACGAGACGGATGGAAGGGGGTTCCAACACCCATCGGCGTGCATTGGGAGAAAACCAAGACCCCGCGAATGGCCATGCGACAAAGCTGTCGCAGGAGGTTTGCAAACCCCGTAGCCGCTGCTGAAACGCTCGAGAAGCCTTCGGGGGACCTGATTCGTTATGCGCCTGCATTACCTATCTGCCCGGTTCCTGGGCTAGCACCGGCAACGAACACGAACCGTATGTAGCTAAAAGTTGTTTCCACTTCTCACATCATTAGGAAACCCCGTGGAGAAGGACAGGAATCCAGACGTGATGATGGATTCCCCCGCAAGTGACTTGATTGCCCCGTATGACCAGATGCGGCCACGGCCGTCGGCAGGTTGCCAGCATTGGCTTCTTTTTATAACTGAGAAGGGGACCGCGCGCTCGCTTGTTCCCCGACCAACGAAGAGCGCGCCTCAGTTGAGTTTCGTGCAAGGGTTTGTGAGTTTGTTGTGCCGCCCCTCCCCACTCTTCTGAGCGATCGCGAGCCTGTGAGTGGCTGTTTGGCCGCTTGCCTGCACCAAGCCGGCTCTCTGATGCACGAATCGGGGTGATGGGTTGCTCCCGCAGTCATCCCGTTCTGGCGGGCGCGACCAGGGGAATGGAGGGGCTGTGGCTCGTGCAGTGGAGCTTTTGCCTGCATCGGCGCCCAAAATCTCCAACCAAAAAACATCTTCAGCTTCAACTTTCTCCATGGCCACACACCCGGGAAAGATCTGCTAGTCACCAACCCCTCCGTCCACTGGCCAACTGATCGAAGATCCCGCCAGATCAAATTCAGACCTACATACAGAGCTAGCGGGTTTCTTATGCGCCGTTAGCTTCCCCACGATTTCTTACCGTTGCTGCTAGTCAGCTCCTCCAACTCTTCTTTCTTATTCGTGCCTAAAGGCGCAGCAGCCCACTTCCAGCTTCTCCAAAAGTCTCTCGCTCTTTCGCTCAGCCGCCCACCCACCGACGGGACGACACACAGCCCCCCCATATTCTAGCCCTGTGCCGCCCATACCACACCCGTCCTCCCCGGATCAGAGCTCGCCTCGATCGTCGCCTCATCACGGCGTCCCTCAGAAGCCGGGCAACAACCAACTTCTCTGCCGACTCAAGGACGATTGGCCGGATCGGGTACTCACATCACTTCTATCCAGTTGGAAAGTCAGGATCAACTGTGAGGCCAACTCTTGGCAGCCACTGTTGACAACCCGCGTCACTTTTCTGCATACTGCGCGCCAATTGGGACGAACCGGGAGTTTGGACGAACCATCCCACCGCCACCATGGTTTCCTTCTCGTGCGAGGTGGGTGGTTCCTTTATTTTGTTATGCCCTCGGAGGGAAGGCTTTCTCCCTCTGACATGGTCGGCTTTCTGGGCATTTTACCAGAGACAAGCGCATTCTCGGGCGTCCGCGCCTCAATTCCAACACCTTCCTTACCCCCCTCCTCCACCCCTCCTTTGCCGGGTGGGATGTCCGCACCCCCCCATGACCACCCCCGAGGGCAATCTTAACTGACATCACACACACCTTTGCTGCACACCACGCCCACGGGTCACTTCCAGCAGGTCACACCCTGGCCCACCACCCCTCCATCCCGCACACCCCTTCCCGTCTGATCAAGTTGATCTTCGCTTCTTTGAATCTCCTGTCACTCTCCCTGTTTCCTCCCTATGTTGCCACCATAACCCCCCCATCATATCATCTGGCCCCTCCACGGGATCACCTCATCGTATTCAACAACCTCTAACAACTGCTCTTCTCTCTTCTGTTTAGGGGTGCGGGGACGTCTTGACCAAAAAGAAGCTCGATCCGCATAGAAACCGCTGTCGCGGGGCGACCTTCACCTGCATCGATTGCATGGTGTACTTCCCTGGTACAGAGTACCGCTCGCATACGGTAGGACCGGTCCGTTGTCGGTGTTTATGTGGCCCCGCTAATAAGCAACGAAGAGTTGCATGACGGAAGCGCAGAAATACCAAGGCGCCCTTTACCGTGAAAAGAAGAGTCAACCTGCCTCGTGTCCCACCCAGAACACGAACAACAACACGAACCAAAACGTCATGGCTCACCCAGCGTATGTCGAAGATGTCGCGGAGGACTATGAGTCCTGGCGTGACTACGAACAGCGCAGCGATGATGACGACCAATCCATCGGCGACCCTCTCCCTGAGGCACCAACACCTCCCTCGGCGCTTGAGGCTGGGTCGCCCGTTGATGTTAATGTCTTTGATTTCCTTGTCGCCAACCCGACACCGACCGCTTCCCACGTGTCCCTCCCAGCCACTGCACCCATCCAGCTGAACGAGGACACACAACTGGTCCGTTTTGAGCCCGAGGCCAATGGCATGGAGGAGACTTGCGAGGACGCCGGTACCATGGTCCGGTATGACAGCGGCGCGGTACCAACCCCCTTCGAGACCCCCGCGCCAAAGGCAGCGCGGAAGAAGGTGAAAGACACCGACAAGGACGCCAAGAAAGACAAGAAGCGGAAGAGGTTACACATCGAAACGGACCACATAATGACAGATGCGCCGCCGGTGCTGCACTCGGGGTTGACGGGCGGCATCAACCGGTTGATGTCTAGACCCACCGTCTTCCCGCCGTCGCCGGATTACTCTGGTGGTGACGTCGCCGAGACGCCAGCCAGCCCGCTCAAGAAGACCAAGTCGAGACACCACAAGTCCAGCCGCCCAACCGAGACCCTTGGCAACAGCTTGATGGCTATGATCGCCGCTAGCTCCAAGCCTAAGCCCTCATCCAAGAAGCGCACCAAGTCAAAGTCCAACTCGACGCCGTCCAAATCAAAGAAGAAGCGCAGCACCAAGGCCCTCGAGGCACCACAGGAGCAGAAACTTCTCGAGTTCAGACCCGGGTCTAAAGACGGCAAGGACGAAAGCGGCACCATGATCGTGTACAAACCGCGGGCGGAACACTTCCTCAGCTTTGTCAACAAGGGTCCCGAGAGCGAGCGCGGGTGCAGCGTCAACAAGGCTCTGAAGCGGTTCCATCGCGAGAGGGCCGCATCGGGGGTGCCGGTGACCAAGTTGATGGAGGAGAAGGAGCTGTGGCGGTCACTACGGATGAAAAAGAATGACAGAGGAGAGATTGTATTATTTTGTATTGATGATTGAGCCTATGGGTCATCAGTAAGTAATGCAAGGAAGCGGCATGTGCATCGCGGGAGGGCATTTTGGACTGGGATGAGGGGAGGGGAATACATTGGATGGGAGTTAATGACGGCATGTGGCATGTGGCATGTGGCATGTCTTTTTTTCTTTTGTGTTTTCCTTTTCATGATACCTTCTGTCGTGTTTGGGCATGTGGGTATATGTTGGCATGAGTTATCTTTTGGCTTATTTCTTTCATCCCGAGGTGCAAAGTCGCAGACTCACCTTGGCGTTTGTACTCGCAATCTCGTTTGCTTCAGGGGCGTGTGCTTTTGATTCTGCTTCTTCTGCCTCCTCATTTCTGCTCCTTCTTGGGATGGAGTACGGAGGATGTTTGGCTTTGGTGGACTTGTCTTGTTTGGTGAGCAAGGTTTTGGAAGTAATCTTCTGGGACTGATGCCATGTTTTAACATCGGCGTTTCCTTGGGCGGACCGGGAGCGAACTCGAAGCGTATGTTTTGCCGTTCATTACCTTGTACACTACCAGCTGTCAATGGACGAAAACGGGTGCAGCTGGGTTTCTCTTTTGTCCTTCTTTAGGGAATCGAAGCTCGTGCCTCGGGTTCTCCGATCTCGTCGCTTTGCGGTGTAAAATAGGGCTGGTCTTGAAATACATTTGCTTCTCGATTCTGATATCCCGTCTATGCATGATTCATATCAACAAGTTTACATGACCCCGGCATCGCCTACAATATTACATTACTTTACACAACTTGTCCCTATGCAACCCGCAAAGGCAGGATGTGCTGCACCATTGCCTCCCTCCTGCACAGCGGACACTCCGGCTTCTCCCTCACCCAATCCCCAATACATGCCCAGCAAAACACATGGCCACACTGCGTCGCGGCCGGGTCCTTCAACTCCTCCAGGCAGAGCGTGCACTTTCTCTGCTGCTCCCCCTTGATCCACCCCATGACCTTTTCACTCGCCAGATCATACCTCGCCCTGCCCGCCCTCGGAACCGGCGTGTGCGCCATGGCACCAATCTGCCCCAGAGTCCGCTGCGCCGAACCAGCCCCCCCAACACCACCACCCCCAAGCAGCTCATTATTACTCGTAAACGCATTCTCATCCAGCGACACATCCACATCCGCCCCCGGCCCAAACGCAGCCCTTCTCCCTAAACTCCTCCCCCTTCCGCACCATCGCCACCCTCATGAACATGCTGCCGCCCAGCAACCGGCCACCTGCTCCCTCACATGCATCCACCCCCTCACCAGCATCTGCACCACCATCAACACCCCCAACACCTCATACCCCGCCCTCCCTCCCGCACCACCTGCACCCGCACCACCCGCACCCACCTCCTCCTCCACCCTCCGTGTAAAAACATACCTCAACCCCCACACCCTCTTCGACAACGAATAATACGCCCCCGTAAAATAGAAAACCGCCAACACCACCGCCTGCACATGTGCCCCGCTCGTCAGCTCCCCCAAGTGCGCCAGCAGGTACCGCACCGCGCGGTACTCGGCGCCCGGCCGCCCGGACTTGTCGCGCGCTTCGTCGCGCCCCTGGCGGGTGAGCGTGGCGAGGCGCGTTTGGAGGCGCGTGCGGAGCGTGGCGCGGAGGCGCGGGAGCGTGCGGGACGCGAGGTAGGGGAGCAGGATGGATGTGGTGATGTAGCCGGCGCGGAGGGGGAGGGAGGGGAGGAGGGGGCCGGTTGGGGGGGTCGGGGCGGTGGTGGTTTCGGGGGTTTGGTGGGGTTGTTGTTGTTGTGGGGAGGAGGAAGCGGGGGCTTCGACTTGGATGAGGTCGCAGTATTCTTCGCCGAGGGTGCGGTTGCCGATGAGGGTGGTCAGGCAGAGGTAGAGAGCGTCGGCGAAGGTGCGTGTCTCGGTGGCCCAGGCATGGGCGGAGCGCGCGCCGCGCAGGCGTCGGTGGAGGTCGCTGAGCTGGTTGGTCAGGACGCCTTGGAAGTAGGCGTCTTTTTGGTGGGCGCGGATGATGTCGGGCGCGGCGGCGAAGGGGTAGGGGGAGGAGGTGAGAGGCGGAGGAGGGCGTGATGGCGGTGGTTGGGAGGCCATTTTGTGGGTGAGGTTAAGTGTATCTCTGGGAGTGAGGATGTTTGTGTGTTGATTGCAATCAGGAAAGAGTTCAATGTCCTGGGTCGCGACGGGGAAAGTGAAAATGGTTGTTGTCGCGACCAGCGCATGCAGTGCAGGTTGTTGCAGTTCGGCCCGTGCAGATGCTCGGCAAGTTGACCAGCTGCAAGCGGCCTGGACCTCGGGTCACGGATAGAGAGCCAGGGATCTGTGGGCGGTTGCATGGCAGGGGTACAGGTTCGAGCCAGGGGTGGACTCGGCGGGGCCAAGCATCGGTTGACGTCGTCACTTTCCCTTGGAAATTCCCCATTTCTTTTATTTTACAAGGGGGGAAATACAGGGGTCGAAGACGTAATTCAATTCTGGCCTCGAGCACTTCCATTCTCTTGATTTTCAGTCTTGCACATTGCGTGTTTGACAGTGCCCAACAACCCTCGTTTCTCAACACCCCCGTACCGTCAACAGCGTCTTTCGATGACGCTGGCGGCCCCAATACACGGGCACAATGGATGGTGATCCTGCTGTCGAGCACCAGCTCGATTCGTTTAGCCTGACCTTTCCGCTTCCCTACCGGATTGCCTTCATCGTCATCTTGGGTACGTTACGAGTTGGAAATCATAGAATTATCGAAAACCCAGCCAGAGAATTCTAACACAAACTTAAACTACAGCCGTCTGGGGATGGGGGTTCAACCTCCACTTCCTCCACCTCCGCCGCATCGATGTGCCCGCCCTGATACGCTACCCCGGCCGCTCGAGCTCTGCACAGCTAACACACCACCACTCGACCTACCGCCTCGCCTTGTTCCTCTCCCTCACCTCGACGGCCTCCATCCTCACCTTTTGGCTTTTCACCCGCCGCGACCCGACCCGCGTGATCGACTACGATTGGCTGCCCATGACCAACCTGCTCGTGCTGGCCGCGCTCTTCTCCATCCCGCTTCGCCGCCTCTCCGTCTCCCACACGGGCCGCAGCCGCCTTCTGTGGACGCTGCGCCGGGTCAGCGTCGGCGGGCTGGCCGAGGCCAAGGACGGCAAGTTCGGCGACATTCTGCTGGCCGACGTGCTCACGAGCTACGCCAAGATCCTGGCCGACCTGTTTGTCTGCCTGTGCATGTTCTTCTTCGGGGGCCGCGACGGTTCTGCCACGGCTAGGCCGGACCGCGGGTGCGGTGGCGCCGTGCTCGTCCCGCTCATCATGGCCGTGCCCAGCACCATTCGGCTGCGCCAGTGTCTAATCGAGTTTGTGCGCGTGCGCAAGGCCCCGTACCGCGAGGCTACCGGATGGGGTGGTCAGCACCTGGCTAACGCAGCCAAGTACTCGACGGCGTTCCCCGTGATTGTGCTCGGGGCCATGTTGCGGGGCCAGAAGGACGGCTCGCCGGGGCTGTACAGGGCGTGGGTTGTTGCTTGTCTGCTCAACTCGTTCTACAGCTTCTACTGGGATGTGGCTAAGGATTGGGACTTGACGCTTTTCTCGAAGAACCGCGACTCGCCCGAGCATCCGTTTGGGCTGCGGCGGACCCTGCTGGTGCACAAACCGGGGGTCTACTACGCTGTCATTGTGCTGGATCTTGTGCTGCGGTGCACGTGGATGATCAAGCTGAACTCGAGCATGGATCGCATCAGCGACTTCGAGAGCTCCATTTTCCTCATTCAGTTTCTGGAGGTGTTTAGACGTTGGGTGTGGATCTTTTTCCGGGTCGAGACGGAATGGGTCCGGAATTCGACAACAGGTTTGGGCATGGATGACATGGTTTTGCTAGGGGACTACCAGGGTAACAAGTACGAGGACGAGGACTGAGGGGTGTTCTCAGGCGTTAGGGTGATCTGGCGGTGTTGTGTGGCATTATTGGAAAAGCCTGTATGTATATTGCGGTTTACGTGGGCATTAGAAGGGCGTTTGAATATTGCTGGCAGAGGTATGGACAGATATCTCATTCTCTCAATTATGAGCTGGTAGACTAATATCTCTTCCCTAAAGAATACACCGCGTTACGTTCGACTCTACACACACACACACACACACAATTTATTCCGCCCGGCGGGCCTAACCCGAAAGGGCAAACTATCATACAATCTACTAATACATATCCTAAAATGGATCCTGGTCTCATGAAGCCCGTACATCCTCCTTTTCTGGCTTATCTCCTTACAATTTTGCCCTCTCTGCTGCGGATGCTCGTGGGTTAGTAGTACGAATAGTAAGCTGGCTTGAAGGCTAGTCTCCAAGTGTCCAACGTCCTATCTTCGGCGGCTGAAGCGCGCTTACTCCGTGTGACACGAGATGAAGGGGGGTGTTAGTCGGGGTTTAGGATGGTGAGGTTAGTTTGCTTCATTCTGTTGTTGTTCAGTCCTCAGACGACCTGTGGCAATGGCAAAACGTATCGTCGCCCGCACCGCCCGCATGTTGGGGGACCAGTCCTTGTCATCCGAGGGCGACTTTCCTCCCAGGTAGAAGGAGAGGTTCCCCCTGTGGACATCCGTACATTGCAGCATCTCCCTACGGTGTTGATCCCATTGCTTGCATCGGAAGAGGAAGTGGTCCACTGTCTCTCTGGCTTGTCCACACGTACACTGATCTGACGGTGCTGCTTTGATGCGATGCAGGTATGTGTTGAGCTTGGCCATGCCTGTTCTAAGCTGAGCAAGCACGCCGGCCTCGCTTCGGGACAGGTGGTCGTATAATAGTTGGGTGTGCTTCCCTGGTAACGCTATATCGACTCTCTTGGAATGTCTGCCCACTTTGTCAGGTAAGGACGTGGGCGGTGCCCGCTTTGCCCATGCGATACGGAGGGCTGTTGACCACATGGCAGGATCCTGCGTTTGTGGCGTAGCGTCCTGCCGTGTTGCGTCGCTAGCGAAATCGGCTTCCGCTTTTCTCTTTCACATCTTTCTGTCGCACGAACCATTTATGCATCTAACCATCCACACCGTGTGCCCTCGCACGCGCTCCTGTACACGCTGTGTTACGATGATTGTAAGCCAACCGGGAACTGTTAGCCAACCTGGTAATCAATCTGGACTGTCAGCAAAAAGTGGCTGTGGCAAGAAATGACGGTCATTACGATGACTGCCGACAAATTTTAATGCGAATCCGACTCCATTGCAGTTTCCACCAACGTGTTAATAGATAAGAGAGGGCGCGGCTGATCCCTTGACCAAGTATCTTGGATGGCGATAGTTCCGGCTGCATCTTCTCAACTGTCGGCCCGCCCATCTAGCTGTCTGCTGTCGGCCGCAGTCCCTCTAAGGTGGGGCACACAAGATCCTAGCATCGCCGCAGGGACTGTTGTTTTCCATCTCCAGCACACATGGGTCATGTGACCCTGTTGACGCATTCTGTCGAGGTGAGGGCCTCTACGGCACTTCACAGGTTTCTCACAGCCATACAAGCAGCACTGAACTCCTTGCGATTGCAGTAAAGTATTCCGCAGCATGGCGCCAATTTTCCGCTCTCTCAACGTCATCGGATCCGAGACATGATCCTGAACAATTCGTTGACCAGTTTCAGATTGCCAGCGTAGTTGGCTGTGCTCCATCCGCACGATTCAAACCAGCCTTCGATGCTTTGGGACAAGTAAAGCGCCAGCCAACGGGGGTGGAAGCCCGAGAGAGCTGAAGACTGCCGGATGTAAGTGCGGCATAGGTGTCCACTGCGGGGGCTCGGTAGGTGCACGACCCTTGCATATTACCTCAAATCGTCTGAGGTGCCAGGGAGTGGCAAAGACGTACTTGTCATCATTTGCGTAAGTGGCGAAAACTAAGTAGCATAAAGGAAACGTTTCTCCCAGACCCTTCACTTGAACAAAGACAAAGATATCAAAAATATAAATATATAATATTCATTACTAAGCGGAAACAATCTGGAAGAATGTCACTTGCCCAGAGGCATGCCCTAGGACCAATGTATGGTTGTACACTGATGTGCACGTTGCCCGGTAATTGGGAGGAAGCCAGAGAAGATTCTTTCCACCCCTGGTGATCCATTCGCCATTGAAGAAGAGAATATCGCCTCCTAGTCCCCGGTTTTTAGAGGCGTCTAAGCCTGAGTTCCAATCTAACGACAACGCTACCGCCGTGACCGAACCGCTATGCCCCTCGAGCGTCTGTTGGAGCGTGCCCGTGACCGCATCCCAGAGCCGGATGGTCATGTCGCCCGAACCTGACGCAAGCGTTTTGCCATCCGCTGAGAACGCTACCGCCGTGACCCAATGGCTATGCCCCTCGAGCGTCTGTTGGAGCGTGCCCGTGACCGCATCCCAGAGCCGGATGGTCTTGTCGTCCGAACCTGACGCAAGCGTTTTGCCATCCGCTGAGAACGCTACCGCCGTGACCCAATGGCTATGCCCCTCGAGCGTCTGTTGGAGCGTGCCCGTGAGCGCATCCCAGAGCCGGATGGTCTTGTCGTACGAACCTGACGCAAGCGTTTTGCCATCCGCTGAGAACGCTACCGCCGTGACCGAACCGCTATGCCCCTCGAGCGTCTGTTGGAGCGTGCCCGTGACCGCATCCCAGAGCCGGATGGTCTTGTCGTCCGAACCTGACGCAAGCGTTTTGCCATCCGCTGAGAACGCTACCGCCGTGACCAAATCGCTATGCCCCTCGAGCGTCTGTTGGAGCGTGCCCGTGACCGCATCCCAGAGCCGGATGGTCTTGTCGTACGAACCTGACGCAAGCGTTTTGCCATCCGCTGAGAACGCTACCGCCGTGACCGAACCGCTATGCCCCTCGAGCGTCTGTTGGAGCGTGCCCGTGACCGCATCCCAGAGCCGGATGGTCTTGTCGCCCGAACCTGACGCAAGCGTTTTGCCATCCGCTGAGAACGCTACCGCCGTGACCCAATGGCTATGCCCCTCGAGCGTCTGTTGGAGCGTGCCCGTGACCGCATCCCAGAGCCGGATGGTCTTGTCGTACGAACCTGACGCAAGCGTTTTGCCATCCGCTGAGAACGCTACCGCCGTGACCGAACGGCTATGCCCCTCGAGCGTCTGTTGGAGCGTACCCCAGTGGTCATTAATACCTGCGACCGATTTGATAAACGATAGCCTCTTCTTCCACTGCTGCTTTCTGACCCGACTTAAGGTTGGACTGAAGACAAGTGCAGAACCGTATATCTGTAATGGAGCCCGTTCCATAATCGCTCCATGACTGCGAATAAATTTTTCTGCATCGTTCAAGAAGTCAACAAAATTAGGAGCTGTATCCGGCTGTAGCTAGCAATATTTAGTTACTATACAGCATTATAACGGTATTATTAACTGACCTGGGCAGCGTGCAGAAGCGTTCTTATCAACAACACCCCATCAGAGAGCCTTCCCAGGAGAGACAAAACCTCAAGCCAATGAAGGAGATGGTTTGTCAGGAAGGCGTGGGCTGGGCCGTCGTCCTCGATATTATGTTTGCTTTCCTTTAGGTGGTGGACCCAGTACTGACAGGCGTATTGAACTTCAGGCGGCAGGTGGGCGTTGATAGTCTGCTGGTCGAGCTCTGACCGCAGCATTCCCGGCACCTTTAAACAGCAGATATCTTGTCCCAGGCATTGGTCCATCAGTTGGATGCATCTTTCCGTAAGCGTCTTGTGATATTCTGCCTCGTCGATCCAAAACTCATTCTTGGTACGCTTGGCCGGGTCAACCAGGAAGTCGCGGAAGGATAGGTGAAAGAGCCTGACTGGGGCATCGTCCACTGAGGGGATATCAAGGACGGAGTGGAGAGAGTTGAGCAATGCGTGGACGCTTTCGCATTCGACATCTAAAAGTTGTCCTAGTGACCGTACTGAGAGCGGCTGAGCAAGGAGTATAATGGGGCCAACGATACTTCGGAACTCGGCTAGCACTTCGGCCTTGTCCTGATCGGTACGTCCAGAGGTGAGCTGGTCGAGGACGGGGAGATATGTGGCGTCGAGTTTGTCGAGCGTGGAATTGCGAGCTGCCGTCCGGTATTCCAAAACTTTCTTTAGTCGTTTGGCAGGGTTCGACCTTCCCTGATCGTCCACAAAACGACAGACGGTTGCGGCAAAAATGAACAGTGGGACAGCCATCTGAGCGAGAGTTCGAATGTCATTTTCGCCCGGCCAACCTAGTGGCACTTGTCCGTTGTATTCATCCTTGATTCGCGTGAGCTCATACGCCAAAAATGTGGATATGTCCTGTTCCACAACTTGCTCTGGGATTTGGTGCAGAGCTAAGCCTTGGTATTTTCCCTGGACGTCCTTAAAACCAAGGCGAATAGGCAGCTCAGGCCGACTGGTGATGAAAATCCTCAAACGTACGGAGCGTATGACGCTTGCTTGTGCGAACAGTGAGATGATAGTCTTGACGTCCTTGTCTCCATCACATTCGTCAAGAGCGTCAATGATGACCACGATTGCCGTGGTGCGCTGAATGCAGCCAAGCGGATGGAGGATGAGCTTTTCGAACTGGTCCCTTAGTGCTCTCTTGGGAATGTCCGGGTCGGCATCAATGGCCTCTCTGATAGAAGGCACCAGGGCAGGAATTTTGTGTACAAGCTGGCGAGCAATGGTAGGGAAAACCAAGCCAGCGTTGCCACGGTCGCCCTCTCCCCGTTTGAAGAAAAAGCTCGCGCCAAGTAGGCCGTCTTTCGCGAACGAGGTGGCCACGGTCCGGGAGATGGTGGATTTTCCTGTTCCTGCCATGCCGTTCAGCCAGAATATGTTCTCGGCTTGAGGATCGCTTGCCCACTCCCGGATCTGGCGAAGGAGCTTGGTCCGGGTGTCGGGGTGGCAACGTGCGTTGTGCTCCTCGGCGTGCGAGTCGGAGGCCGCGCCGCTTGCGACCGGGAGCGCTGCTAGGTCGATCTTAGAGTGGATATCGAGAATTTCGGTGCTGGAAATTACTGTTAGCTATGTATTAACCAAGGTATGAGGCTTGCGCATACATTTGATCTATTTGAAGAGCGGCGGAAAAGGAGTCTTGGTCCCGCTGAAGGTTCGCAATGATCTTGTCCACGTCCTTGCTCTCGAACGGCCACCCGAAGGCTCGCAGCCCTACACGTCTCATCGTTTTTGCCCTATGACCCTTGTGCAACTTCTCTTCCAGCTTCGTAGCGACATCACCAAGCTGCGAGCAGGTATTGCTAAGGGCTTCGCGCAGCTTTTGCGACGTCTCGAGCCGAGCTCCATATGGACCCTGGAGGAGCTCTCGTACGCCTTCAGCGGTTGTCTTTAAGGTATCGGTATGTTTTCGCAGGCGCTTGATGTCGGACCTGGCGCTCTTAACAGCGGACGAGTACTCGAGACAGAGAGAGCCGACCTTGGCGGTCAACTCGACGACGGCGATGGCGCTTGCGACGGCCCCGAGCCCCTCCATCGTGCCGGGAAACAACGGAACGATTGACGTGTAATATGTACGAATTGAGGAATTGGTTCGAGGGAGCGATGGAGAATCGTGGCTAGTTACAGCAATCTGTTTGAAGATCGCAAGGTTTGGGGAGAAGGGCGTCGCGCTGCCCAACCGCTGCCCGACACAACTGCCTCGACCCAATTGCGCAGGGTTGGCCTAGCGCGGGGTTTGTCGAAGCCGCTTTAACCTACTCATCGACGATAAACCATCACCTCATCAACGGCGACAGTGTGATCGTTCACAAGATGGCAGCTTCTGCTTTCCCTTGTAGGGATAAGTCGCTGCGTTCCGTCGAAGAACAGTGCTTGGCCTGTCAGATTGCTTGATCCGATGATCGCGTGGGGTCCGCAAAATCGGAGTGCGTACAGATTACAAGGGCCTCACTTCCAGGACCCCTCGATTCCTCCAAGCCCGGATTCTGGCACGAGCTAAATTTAGCAGCGACTACGGAGTACAGATTACGGAATACACAGTCGCATGCTCTGGCGGCTAAATTGGCCAATAGCAAATGTGCCCTGATTTCGGCCCTGAAGATGGAGAGCAATGGCCCCTGGGCGGCGGCTGGATTTAATGCACCCCACCTTAAGCCCACTGCCTGACAAACAGCGACACGGAGACCGTACCCGCATCGTCCGAAATGCGGACGGCAGACGACGGGCGGGCCGGCAGTCGAGCAGCAACAACTAGAACCATCGTCATCCAGCACTTGGTCAAGGAAGCCAGACGTGCCCTCTCTTATCTATTAACCTAACCGTTGATGGAAGAGCCGGGTTCGGCTTATTATTCGACCACGGTCATCGTAATAACAGCCATTTCTGGCTGACAGTCCAGGTTGGCTGAAGGTCATCCATCGTAATACTACGTTGTTGCATTACCATGTATATCCTGCCTGGTATGTACAGTACACCAATGGGTACGAGGGCACACGGTGTGGCTGGTTAGATGCATAAACGGTCCGTGCGCCAGAAAGATGTGTGAAAGCAAAGCGGAAGCCGGTTTCGCTAGTGACTGTATGCCCACATTGCCCTTTCGGGTTAGACCCGCCGGGCGGAATAAATTGTGTGTGTGTGTGTGTGTGTGTGTGTATGCCCACAAGCAGAGAGGGCAAAATTGTAAGGAGATAAGCCAGAAAAGGAGGATGTACGGGCTTCATGAGACCAGGATCCATTTTAGGATATGTATTAGTAGATTGTATGATAGTTGCCCTTTCGGGTTAGGCCCGCCGGGCGGAATAAATTGTGTGTGTGTGTGTGTGTGTGTGTGAGTATGCCGACAGTTCATAACAAGCCCAACGAACCTTGACAGATATTTCTACATTGAGGCACGGATTGGTTCTTTTCGCCATTCGCCATCCACGACAATGGTTCGTTATCGAAGCTCAAGCCCACGTTTTGTTCCGGGCGGGCTTGAACAAAGGCACACGTTGTCTCATGACGGAAGGCGGCGATGATGGGAAGCAACACACAAAGCAAGAGTCGGCCCGGAATATCGACGAAGGCTCGTCTTTGTTCGGATTTTCTAACCAAACCAATGCCAACGTGGTTGGTTCCATCCGAACCAACCAACTTGAGTCGTTCCCAGGTTGTAACAACGGTCGGGCCCCTTCAGGTGAAAATCCAAGCCGCTCGACGATCACATACTGCAATATTCTTCAACGTGCCTCCCAATATGCCTCTGCCACGGAGCCCCGATGTCTCCAGCTCGACGCTGGGGTGGTCAGGGTCACACGCACCCGCTCACCATCCACTCGCCCCCCCTCCGCTCAGGGAGGTTGAGAGGTATGGGAAGAGATCGCTGCCGCCGGTACCGCTCCAGAGAGATCCCAGGGTGTCTGCTTTCAGCAAGGAAGTGGACGAGGCCCTGGCCACTCCTGCGCCTGTGGTCAGTCCTGCCGAGGGTAGTATTTATCTCATGTTTTGTGGTGACCCTACGGATAACGGGCAGGCTGAAACTACCTCCAACACAGACAAAATCGCAGAGAAGCACCAGAAGAAAGAGGGACTGAAGGTCAACACCGCGGGCGTTCCAGGAGCCGAGTCCGAGCTGCTCAGATCCCCGCAGCCACAACACAAGCTGTCAATCTCCAAAATACAAAAGATATCGGGCGTTCATGCGCCGACCTATCGGGAGACAACTCCGACGGGGCACGACTCTGCAAAGAAGATCCAGAGGGTCACAGGTATTGGGGTCCTTTCGGAGACTATCCAACAGCAGAAGCGAATCCGAGAAGAGCACAAAATCCAGTTACATGGTGAAGAGGTGTCTCCCTTGAGCAACAACGGCAGCGACTATGGGTCGGAGGAACCCAAGACGGCCGTCTCCGAGTTGGACGGCGATGCGGAGGGGCACGGGAAGGGTTATTTCTCGGGGTCGAGCTGGGGTTATTTTGGCTCCGGCCATCCCTACCGGCGTAGCACTGGATCGACTGGCCTCCCAAGCCCGCTGCGTCTCATAAGACCTTCAAGACCGAGCCGTAGCCCGGAAAAGGAACTGCCAGAACCCGCCAGATACGGTGGATATTTACCACGGCCCGCTCTTTCGCCCTGGTTAGAGAGTGAACGGATGAGCCCCGGATGGAACACGCCCAGCGGCAAGTTCAGCCCGGATCTTTACCACGAAACGATAAAGGAAGTGGCAGAAGCAGGTACAAACTCACCCGAGGGAGAAAATAGAAGCAGACGAGCAGAGCTTGCTGCTCAGCGGTTTCTCCAAGCAGACGGCACAGGCAGCGCCGGTAACCATGGCAGTCCCAACCCCAAACCGCTTCCCCCTCTGCCACATCAGCGGCGTCACCCTCACCAGCTGGGTCATTTCCCAGACGCCCGCCCTACAGGCAGTTCCGAACGTATCCAACCCGTGTGGCGGCCCTACAATACCCAACAAGAGCTTCCCCGCGCAGTAAGCGTCAGCACCTTTGGTCGCCTCCACGCGCAGCACTTAGGCCCTCCCCATCCCCCTCCCCACCCCGAGGCCCCCAGCTCCCTAGCAAATTCGACTTTGACTCCGACTCCGACTCGGACAGCAAACCAAACACCATCGGCACCTCCGACACAGGCGGCTCCATCCCAGCCTCCATCACCAGCGACATCAGCGACGGCAACCGCCACCGGCGCCCCCGCCATCACCATCACCATCGCAGCAGCGGCATCATGGCCAAAGTCTTCCATCGCACCTCCGCCACCTCCATGACCACCGCACCAGGCAGCCCACCCCCCGTGCCAACCAACACCCCGCAACAACCCACCTTCCCCCAGGACACCCACCCCCACCACCACACCACCACCCAGGACGGAATCCACCACTCCAACAACTCGCGCCCAAACCCAAACCCAAATCCCACCCCCCAACCACTCCCCACATCCACCTCCCAACCCCAGCCCGTATCCACATCCACATCCTCCAACACAAACACCCGCGCCCTCAAACCAAAATCCTCGCTCACCTCCCTCGCCGCACGGACGAACAACCTGGTCGGTGCCGCCGCCGATTTCATCCTGGCCAAGACGGCGGAGGAGAGGCGGCGGCAGCGGTTGAAGAACTATATAAGTGTTTTTGGGGTATGGGGGGACAGGTTTTGTGTGGTGGGTGATGGTGACTCGGAGAATTCTTTTTTGAGAGTCGCGGTGTGTGGTGGTGGTGGTGGTGGTGGTGGGTTGGGTAACGGTAGTGGAGAGGGGGGTGGGGGGTTTAGGAGCCGGTTGGCGTCGGCGCCGGCTGTCCCTTCTGCTTCTTCTATGCCCTCGGCGGCTGTGCTGGGTGTGGGTGGGAGGGGGAGGGCTGATCGGGCTTCGGAGGTGGGTAGGCTGGGGTACAGCGGGCTGGGGGCGGGTTCGAACGGGAGTTTGGGGAGGGAGAGTTTTTGGGTGGGCGGCGAAGAGTGGGAGTGGTGCGGGTTCTGGGGCTGGCTCTAGTGCTAGTATTGGGGTGAGGTCGGTTTCGAGGCAGGGAGTCAGTCCACGGGGCAGTCCTGGTCCGCAGGTGGCTCGGGTTTCGAGGGAGAATAGCCCGAGGGGAAGTCCCCAGCCAAGGGGGAATGCAGGTGGGCCATCCCCGAGGCCGTCGCCGAGGCCGTCACCCAGACCATCACCAAGACCATCACCTAGACCGTCTGCGGGAACGGGGCGTGATTACAGGACTGGGGGCCAGGGGCTGAGGATTGGGATGCGCCCGATGTAGCGAGGTCGTGTAGCGAGGTCTCGTAGAAGTGGGTTGGTTAAAGGGTATTTATGTCAGTCAAAAGGGGCATTCGCCATTTCAAAACCCAAGCAAACCAACAATAACTAAATGTTTTCCTCCTTTCCAATATAGAAATCCAAGGTTCTCTCATATCATCCCCAACCCCTGACTTATACATACCATACCGTACTGTATCCCAAACGTCGGATATTACCGGCTCTGGTGTTACCAGATACAGCATGTACTTTACTTCACGGCTTCGGGCTGCTACCACCCCAACGTACCCCACAGCCCGGCCGAGGTTCCGGCGAGTGCCCCGCATCCTGTACCCCAACTACTCCGTGCAGCCCTGTGACTTCCTTCCACAACCGGCCTTTGTTGGGTTTCCGAACGGGTAACTGCACTAAACCCCCAACCCGTGACCCAAACCACAGCAGCGCATGCGCCCAAGACGATGAGCACACCTCTCCCCACCGAGGAGCAACTGCCAGTGCCAGTGCAAGTCGGTTCGCCAGAACACCAAGAAGAAGTTCAGACGATCATCCAGAGTGTCCAAGACGCTCCGGCCTCCGACACCGCTCTTCCGCTGCCAGCCGAATTAGACGGAGAAGCCGCCGAGTTCTTATCCGAAGAGGAGGAAGAGGAAGAAACGCACAAGGGATCCAATTACTGGGATGCATCGACTATGGGAA